CTGTCTCCCACTCTCTCTCTCTCTCTCTCTCTGTTTCTTTCTTTCAGCCCTAGAGGCCGCACCATAATGGTGTGTCGTGTGCGGGGATGGAACAAGGATACTGTTCTGCCGGAGGCAAAGTCTAAACAAGTCTGTCTCTGCCTCTCCATAATTGCATTACAATCACACTACAGTATACATGCATGCATACATACATACATAGTATAGTGCACATTATAGGGTACATGTCCCATATTGCATATATGTGTGCTATGTTTGGTTGTATTCCATATTGCATATGGTGTGTTGTGTACATATATCCGTATATACACATGCAAGTATTATGCACAGTGTTAGGCATTTGGTGTGCTATGTCCAGCATGGATCAGTAGTTCTGGTCTTGTGCCTTAGCACTTTCTCCTATTTAGTGTGCAGATTATTTAGTGTACAGATACATATACATAATGCAGCATGCATTACATGCAAAGTATTAGCAACCATATGCACAGCGCATCATACAGACAGCGCATTTAACGAATTTTAAAGCTCGCACTAACGATTGGACGTAAAACGTTTGCTGATGCATATGATAGTTGATATGGGTTCTAGAGTGTGTGGTATGATGTAAGCAGGATGTAAGGTCGTAACCTTATCCCCAGATATGTACATACATGTGTATATATATATGTATCATTTTTATATTTATATTTGTTTATTATTTATGTATCACAATGTATTGCCTATTCGACATATTGCCTATGATGAGTTACAGGTTGTAAGCAAACGAATGTTCACTGAACGCTTGGTTCTCTTGTATTCAAAACTTTCCTCCGAACTTTCGCGCGGATGGCACACTGCCTTGCCCTCATGTCAGCGTTGCCGGTGGCGGGCCTGCCCAGTTGCCGTTCTCTGCCTCGGCAGGCAGGCGCTCTTACTTAACTGAACCATCGGCGGTCCTCGGAGCAGTGTTTCCTGGCCTGGGGCGTTCACCAGCGTGAACTCCAAGTGGAAGGATAAAGACGCACGCGGAGAACCCTGAGAAGCCGGGAGGGATCGGCGCCTTAGCGTTCACTCACTCATTCACTCACTTGCCGACTATTATGCACTATCCATGAAATGGACATGTATTCAGTACAACACTTGATCTAGTATATATGGTATATGCTTCTGTTACAGACAGACATGGCGGACTACAGTACTACAGCCCCAAGTGTTTTTTGTGCAATTCCTTCTATGTACAGAAGCAGGTATACCTCATCCGTTGCATTCTCCAGAATAATGCATGTGTCCCATTTGTCACATCTTGTACTATATCTTGAATGTTACATGCGTAGCACATATCTATATATACATACATATGTATGCACGTATTATATTAAGTGGTATGTTTGTTTTTTTTTTGCGGCTAGTCTGCTATCATTAATGATGTTGTTGTTGCTGCTGTTGTTGCTGTTGTTGTTGTTGTTGTGACTTTATACATATAGCTGCATACGCAGAGTTCTCATGATGCATGACATGTTACATATCATACGATATAAAACCTGATTTTCCAATGCATGACATCTCGTTTTTTGAAATGCCGCCTTCACTACATATTCTTATCTGTTGCATTTTTTGTTGCATTTTCTGTTGACACTAGTACACGCACGGTCGCAACATGCAAGTATGCGCATGGACAGCGGTAGGTCAACCTGCATTTTTTGTCGGGCTGCTTTTCTTGCACCGTCAAGGTCGTGTATCACCGGAAGGAGTTGAAGACGCTGTTGCCGCCCCTCACCAGTCGCCATCCGAGTTGCTCCTTTTTTTTAGAAGCGACTTGTGGGCCTTGGAGCCTAAGCCGAAACATGAGAAAAATGCCTCAGATGAGCCCCACATGTCGGTGGACAAGTGGATCTACCAGCTCCAGAAAGCCGAGAGGCTCGAGGGCTTCGGCTCGAAACCTCTCGAGCTCAGAGCGCGAGACCTCGCCTGTCAGGGCCTTCGGCCAGATGATCTTCTTCTTGAGCCATTCCTTGAACTGGTCTGACGCCCATATTCCGCTTTTGAACGCTGCTTTTGAAGTGCTTTGTCAAAGCGCAGAGGCACAGGCTAGCTAGCCACAAAACAGGCATGCAATGGTATGCACGCCTGCACTGCTTTTGTTTCCGCCAAGTGTGGCTCAAAAGCTGCATAGTTATTCCATTTCAGCCAGTCGGCCGCACGAGCTTCTGCGCACAGGTGCAGGGCTGTGGCTTGCCAAAGGCACATGGCTGCGGTGTGGAAGATGATTTGGCTCATGCCCCTCTTGCTTGCCGTCCAGGCACAGGGCGTTCCCGGAGAGGACCCGCTGGCTCAATGGCTGGATGACTTGAAGTTCAATTTGCAGGATGTGACACAGGAGAAGGCAGGCATCACTGTCACAGCATCGAAGCTGGTTTGTCAGAACTTGCAGCTGACAGACATCCAGTCAGCAGTTAAAGGCGTTGGCCTGTCGGTTACTCTGAACGGTGTTGGCATCAAGTGCACCGGGCACTTCGAGTATCACGGCTTAGCCATCGTGAGTGGTTCAGGAGATCTTGAGGCAGTCGTGAAAAGCAGCCCCTCTTCTACGGCGACTGTTGCGTTGCAGGGCGGGAGCATCGACAAGAACGTGCCCTGGACGGTTGATGCTTCTAGCTGCTCCGCTAACATTGACTTTAAGATCACCTTCTCAGGCTCCGTTATCTACTACATTGTGAATCTCTTCCAAACCCCGATCTCTTTGCTCATCAAGTCACAGGCAGTTAAGCAAGCCTGCGATCAGCTGAAGCAGATGGCAGCTGGCCCTCTTTCGAAGAAGCTGGCTGCTTTCAATCACCTGATGCTGCCACCAGGCTCAACCACCCTTACAAGCCTCTTGCTGGAAAGTAGTGCGGTGGAGAAAGCGGAGGAAGCCGAGGGCCTCAAGGTCACCTTCGCCAGTGTCGCCGATGACATGTTCCAGTCCCCGGAGGTGGCACAGGCCCAGGCCCCGCAGAATTTTCGCCATGACCGGAGGCTTCAGGAGGGCTCAGGCGCCCCAACCGTGGACTGGAGCCGTGACCCGTCTGTCAGCTGGATGTCTTGGTTATTGGACGACGTCATTGGCCCAGACAAGATGGATCAGGCCCTCCGCTGGGCCTGGAAGGGTGCCAAGTCTGTGGACATCCCAGGTCCCGAGACGCCTGTGGCAGTCAGTACCATCGAACAGCCGGATGCCGGCCTGGAGCTGAAGGTGCCTTGCAAAGGACTTGCTTGCATATCCTTATATAGCACTTGCATGCCACGTATGTAGGTTTCTTGTGTTTTGCTATCCAACTTCCCTGGAGGTGCAGGCTTTCCTGAAGCAGGCCGTGATCGAAGGGGCCGATGGCATGTCTGCTTTCACCCCGGTGCAGGCCATTGGCCCCAACGACCTGCGCTTCAAGATCAGCTGGGGTACGCCGGACATCCCAGCCTTTGGCTTCGGCGTGGATGTTCGTGTGAAAGTGGAGGCCATAGATCTGCAAACCAAGCAGTCGCAAGCTTCGGTGGAGCAGGAGATGAGCCTGCACCTGGCACTCTTGAAGCCTTCTCTAGATGCCACCGGTGAGATTCTGGTCCTGGAAAGTGAGTGGCCAGGCCAACATACGCTGGCGCAGTTCCTGGTGGCACCTCAAGCATGCCTCACTAGTGTCTTCAAGTCGGCACCTGCCTTGAAGAAGCTACAGGCATGGCAAGCTGAAGTCCCGTTGTTCATGATTAATTTGTAGAAGGGCCAAACATCCCTGCGCCCCTTTTTTCCAGGTGCAGTTTGCCGGCATCGCAGCCCCTCTGAGCTTCCAGGCGAAGACTGTTGGAGCGTTGGAGGCCTCTTTGGCTGCTTTGCTCAACAACGGCGTGGCCTTGTTCAACAAGGTTTACGAGCCACTGCTTCCTGGTGCGATTGAGCGTTTCGCAGGCTCTGATGCACTCATAGGGAAGCTGAACGCCAAGCTGAAGGAGCAGCTGAAGCCGGGACAGTGCATCAGCCCGTCCATGGCATCGCAAAAGGCGAGGAAGACGGTTCCACAGTACTACAGCGACTGGCCTCCTATTTTCGACAACTATCTGAGGAAGTGGATTGACAACTTCTTCGATGGCCTGATTGCCGCAAACACCACCACGATAAACCAGGGCCTCTCTGACATGCCGAAGCTGCCTTTGCCTTTGGATGCGAAGTTTTCTTTGAGAGAGTTGCAGGCCACCGGTTTGGATCAGGTGAGCAAGCTCCGTGTCCTGGTCCCATCTGAGACACACAGAAGCTGGCTGGGAACGAGCGCCGTGTCGAAGTGCCCGAGCCCCCAGGCACCCTGGCGGCCCACCTTTGCCGTGAGCGGCGCCGTGGAGGCCGGGAACTTCAAGGGCAACGGCTCAGTTATCACGGAGATGCCCTGCGGCACGGCCGATGCGCAACTTGACGTCGAGGTGGACATGTGGGCTCTGCTTGACATGCAGCTTCCGCCCAGCATGACCTGCGCCCTCCTGTCGCCCTTTGCCCACCTCGACATCGAGACGTTGAACGCCACTTGGACAGGAAATGGCAACGTGATCGTGAAACCAGTTGATGGACCTCCACAAGAGCCCTTGAAGCAGCTCTGTGAATTGCACCCTCGTCTTTGCGAGCTGGGCGTCAAGTTCCGCAAGTACGTCTCGACCACAGAGGGTGCCTCCCGTTTGTACCACTTGGCCCGTGATGTAGTCCTGGCACAGTGCACGGACCTGCCCAAGTTGTCTGCATCGGGGCAACTCGGGGCTCTGCCGAAGGATGCTTTGGGTTACACTTATGTTGCGGCTGACAACATGAAGCTTTGGCTTGCTAGCGTCCTCATTGCCATGGCCCTCTCTGGTACATACAGCTTTTGTGCTCATCTCGGAAAGCTGGTTCGAAACGATGACTGTGGTGAGGTGCTGCCAACAACACCGGTGCCCTTGGCCACGATTTGCTGGTTCGGGAGGGCACGCTCCCAAGTCGGCATCCCCAAGACAGCGACGATTTGCACTTCCACGCTTATGGCCGCTGGACTTGTAGCTCGCATCCTCGCTTGCTTCTGGCTGCCCTTTGCGGCGGCTGGTATGGGGATCACCCAGGCTTCCGGGGCCACCATCTTCCAGGATGATGCCTTGTTGGAGCGGCTTGGTTTTTGCGTGTGAGCATCCTCACTCTTTCTCTTGCCTTGTAGCTGCTAACCAGGGGTCTAGGGCCTATACTTGCAGGCCTAGGGCCTAGGATATCTAATGTGTGCTGTTCGCAAGCCAACCCAGGTACACCTTCTTCGGCATCGGCGTGCAGTTTGGAGTTGGGGGCTTCTTGTACTGCGAAACCTTGTGGTTCTTCATGTCGCTCGTTTCCTCATTAACCTCCCATGCCATTCTGGTTCTTGTTTGGCTGACGCCTTTCCTGGCCAAGTATCGCCGACAGCTGCTGCTCCTTGCATTGGTGCTTGGCCGTTTCCCTTTGTCTGAGATGGAGACCACGGGCAACACCGCCATGGCCTTGAGCTCTGCGATTCAGATGCCTTTGGGCATGACGCAGACCCTGGGCCTGGGCCTGCAGGCGGGTGCCTATGCATCTTGGTTCTCTTCGGTCTGCAGCTTGTTGGCTAACCTGATCCTGCTCAAGGTCCTGCCTCGGCCTGTGAAGGAGAAAGATTGGGCGGCAGGTAAGGCTCCGCTGCATGTCACAGCCCTGCAGGGGCTGGCGAGCTGCGCCATGATTGCTGGCCTTTGCATGTGGTGGTTTTGCGACTTCATGCAGGCTGTCACTGGAGGAGTTGCCGGCGCACTCATCGACCCAGTCTCTTTGAGTGCTTCGAGCTTGGGCAAGTCCGACATGGGGCTCAGAATTATGGTGATCTGGACCGCAATTGGCTGCCCTTTCCTGCACATCGTCGCCTTCTTGCTTGGTTTGTGGGGAAAGGCTCCTGGCATCGCAAGGAGCTTGGCGGGCTTCGCGGCGACCTTCTGCCTCTTGGACCTTTTCGCGCTGGGATTTTTGATCACTTTCATTGAGGGGGTCAACGGCTTTGCCTCTTCGGCGATCCGTGGCCTGGCGCCAGCAGTCTGTGAGGTGGGACCTTATGAAAATGGGATATATAGACAACAAAATAGTCTGCATCCTGAGTATGAGGATCCTCGAACATGAGACCGGCGAAGCCCTGCAGGTAGCCAAGGAGGCAGTCGGGGAAGACTGCCTAACTATGCAGATCAATGTGGTCCCCCTGGGCACCATCGGCTTGCTTTTAGCAGCAGGTGCCTGGAACGTCCTCTTCGGTGTGCAGGTCCTGGGAGTTGGCCAGGGCAAGGAGAAGCCAGAAGTGCGACAGCCATTGGTAGAAGCCGGGAGCCTTCCTTCCACATTTCAGGAGTGCAGAGACCCGGTGGCGCCTGCATGAAGGCTCTCCCAGTTTCCGTGCCGCTTTTTGCACATGTCCGAGTCGTTAATGCTTTTCTGGGGTGCGACCATCCGCCGCAGGAATCGCAGCCTGGGGTTGTTTTGCACAGTACCGGTTACCAGAAGCAAGCTTGGAATCAAGATGCCGCTAGAGGAGACTAGTTAGTATCTCGTTAGTAGTCGTTGGGTGAGATTTGGTGCAGATGCATTGCAAGATATGGCGTGCCCCAAGGGGGGTGCACCATGTGTTTCACAAAAGGACCTCCAGACAAATTTCAATGACATCTCTCAGCCTGTCACCAAGGCAACTTGTGCTTCGGAGATAGGCGGAGTTGCCAGCTTTAAGCTTATCTTAGTCCCTTGAATCTTAACCTGCGAGGCTTCGTCCAGAGTCCAAAAAGAGCCCGTGTAGCGCATGCGAGCGGACACTTGTTGCGGCCGTCGTGTGGTCCGACTTGGCCCAGGCAGGCGGGTTCCGATGGTGGATCAAGCATCGACCAGAGGAGGCCGTGCCCCTGCACTTTCAATGCAAACAAAGGAAGTAGTTAGCACGTATTTCAATGTTGTGGCCTGGCTTCTTGTTCCGAGCCGCTTGGTTCCTCGATTCGCAGGAAGCTGGACCCCTTGAAGGAGGCAAGGTTTAGACACTGCTTATGGCTTGTTGGAAGGAAATATCACATCTTACTTCATGTCTTGGGCGGGCAGAGGAACTCTCCGACTGAAGGCTTGGTCTGCAGACCCTCAGCGACAGCGCTTTGTGCGGGAGTTGAAGTATGCTCTGCCCTCAGCATGCCGCGAGCGTCCCACCGACATTTGCTGAGACTCAGCCTCACAAACCTGTGAAGAATCAATGCTCATTGGGCACAGCGTTTCCAAATGGCACCGAGATTGATGCGACGGTGTCATACTTTCACGCGCTGGCGAACACAATGCAAGGATCTCAGTCTGAGCATGGATATGCTTTAGCAGCATCCCAGTCTGTGGATTTGGATAGTCGCCCGTTCGCTTCTCCTGTGTTGAAATTGTTTCCAGATCAGTCCCCAGACATTGCTACCGACGGTGCGTGCACAGCTTGGATTGGCCATAGCTGCGAAGTGATGATCTGAGCCAAAAGAGGCCGTGAGTTCTGCAGGCCGCACATCTGACCTAAGTCACAGCCGCATGCCAAACCAATGCAGGGCACTCATCAGCACAGGGTGGTGATGAGCTGTTCTGGTAAAGGTTTTGTCTTGGTCAGTACTTATCACGCTCATAGGGTATTATGTGTATTCGAAGCACATCCACGGGTCGCGGAGCCAATGCCGGACAGACATGGCCCGCCTGCTTTTGATGTGGACACTCGTCGGTGCAGCGCAGCCGCTCGGATGCTTCAACTCTGTCCTGTCTCCGAAACATCAGGCGCCGTAGCCTGTTCCTGTTGCGTGCCGCACTCATCCCGAGATTGGTCACCGAACTGCCCAAAGATCCAGCTGCTTGGATTCAAGCGTTGCAATTGAAGGTGGCGAGGTTCGAGAGCAGGACCGGCACCTCGTTATGCGCTCCTGAGGCTGGCTTCCAGAAGGCCTTGGACGAGATGGACCCGGCTCAGTGCTCGGCCCAGGGCCTATGCCACGGAGTCGCAGTGCGGTTTCCTGCATTTTCCTGCTTTTCCTGGCAGGCGCCATGCAGCTTTGCAGGGCCTGGGAATCAGCGCCGGCCTGCGACCACCACCGCGGCCTCTCGAGGCATCCCAGGCCCGACAGCTGATGCTCCTTGGAGGGATTTGGAAATGGCAGAGACTTGATGATAAGTCGACTTGAATTTTTTTGGCTTCGGGATGTGCACCCTAGTGCGATTACCACCGGGTTTTGGCCAAGCTGCGGCGAGCAAAGGACAAGTCTTTTGCAGATCCTTCGATTGATCTCCGAGCAGCTGGCAGAGGCTTGGGAGGTGCATGATGCCAGGACAGCCAAGCCGCCGTTCTGTTTTGGAAGCACACAAGTCACAAGTATGACCATGTAGAGGATTGGTAGTAGAGAAGGACTTACGAGGAGAAGCTGAGGGCCTCACGGTCGCAATGTGCCAGCTTTGGCTTCGGCTGACTGCTTTTTGATTCACTTGGCCGCTACCCAGGCCACCATGCCATATGTGGAGGACATCTTGAGCCTCTCCTCTCCAATATGGACGTTCTCAGAGATCTGACATTCCCATGGTCACCCGGAACCCCCGACATCTGTGCATCCTGTGCACAGGCCCAACCATGCAAAAGTTTGGCTTTTCCACTGGGTGGCCAGGCTCCTTCCTGGAGGCCTCTCATACCAAGAATTCAAGCTGATGGAGCAGGTAAGTGAGAGATGTTCGGTCTACCCGCTCCCACACAGTTTCTGGCTCCATGGCGAGGTGATCCGTTCTGTGTCCACAGTGCGCAACCGAGGCTCAGCCGGACTGTAGGACAGAGGGCTTCAGAGAGGCTTCTGCGGCTTCCATGCCGGAGTTGATGGCTGCTGAATCCAAGGAACTGGATGCATAAAAATTGCGGCAATGCTGCTCAGCTGAACAGCAGCTGACGGCCCTGTGCATTCATCCGTGTGTGTCGAACTGATCTTGGTTGTGCATCTCTCTCTCCCCTCACTTTTTCTGGGCAACGCATCTCTCCGCAAAGCCCACATGACCTGCGCTGACGCCAGCTGCAGGCTAGATGAGATGGATTCCCTGCTAACGGGGCAGCGGCATGAGCCTGTTCAGGCCGAGCTTTGAGGACGCTTGCACCGAAATCCGAAAGGATGTACAGATTTCATGAAGCCAGCTTGCTCCGAGTCGCAGCAGCAGGTGCCTGGGCCCTATGAGGCGTAGGGGCCTAGACCAAGCCAAGCTCAACTGCAGGGCCATGGCCTGTTGCAGTGCTTTTCCCGAAGACCCTCGCAGCGCGTTGACGACGACGTACACTGCAGGGCCATTTGAGCTTTGCGAAGCCTTGCTGGCTGACTTCAGCGTCCCCGTCCGTTAGATGGCTTCCTCCTATTCGTTCGTTCAGCAGTTCCTTACTGCTCTCTGCAGTGGCGCAGTGGCTAACACTCCCCAGCTTAGCCGAGGCATGCGAGAGGGAAGCACTTCTCTCTAGCAGCGAAAGACTCGTGTGTCCTTGCATGGAGACAATTGCGCCTCTAAGGCTGCAGATCATGTTAGCAACACAGGAGGCACAAATCAGCTGATCTTGGGGCAGCACGGGCACACTGATGGATTTATTATGCGAAATTTAAAGTGAAAGATGAGAGTTTCACCGTGGTGCAGTGTTTTTCATCGTTGCTGGCCTTCGTTTGGCTGCTGAGCAGCAGGCCCTATCTGTATGGTTGACGGTTGTGGGGTATAGGCCTTAACTATCTTGCCCGGCCGGATGTCACAATGTGATCTCTCAGCAATTCCACTGCTCTTGCCTGCTTGTCAGCCTGTCTGTCTGTGGCATGACACTGACTCGTTTGCTGCCGTCATTCGGTTGGATTCCGATCGCCGCTGAGGCCGGAAATGCAAGCGGAAGCCTCAGCTACTTGAGGCACCGTGCGAGAATTCGTTCAATCAAACTGACCCTAAAATGTAAGGAAAAAGAGATAGACTTCAACATGCGCCTCAAGGGCAAGGCCACAGGTACACAAGGCTGCAGCCTCGGATCGATGGGACAGCACAGGCCAGGGACGCGAACGTTTGAACAGCCGGCGACAAGGGAGCCGCCCCTGATCCTTTATACTCTTTCTTTGGAAGCGCATCTTGGGCCAAGCAAACTGAACATGCCGTTGTCGAGATGCTGATGGAAGCGCGCGTGGATTTGATTCGACATCTAGAGTCACTACTTGCATCCCACTACATCGTTCTTGTGCAAACAAAATCCAGCTACCCGGAGAGCCTGGAGGGTAGCGGGTGTTCGTCTGTTCACAGCAATGGCGGTCCCGAAGTTGCAGTAGTCGCAGCTTGCAGGCCGGGGGTCATCCGTTGCCAGCAATATAGCCAAAAGCAAAAAGCATCGTCTGCCGAGTCGAAGGTGACGCGCTTTCGCCATGATCCGGCCAGAAACCCTGATTGGCTTGGCGGCACTTCATCCCGACCCCTCGAGCAAGACGCTGCAGGCGAAGAGAGTGAAACCCTTCTTGCCTACCTGCCCCTCTCTCTCTCTCTCTCTCTCCCTCTCTCTCTTTGTGTCTCTCTCTCCCTCTCTGTACGTGATGCTTAAGTAAGACATATTTAGCCTACGTGTACGTCTGCAGAGGGCCTCAGCGTTTCCTCGCTTTACGGTGCGGTGGCGGACTCGGGCATTTGCTAGCCTGCTAGCGCCTTTGGGCTAGTCGGGATGCTACTCATAAATCGGAAACTCCACCCAGGGGGATGACTTCACTGAAGAGGATCAGCAGGCAGTGAAAGAGTTCAGGCACATCTGCCTGTGGCCGTTTTCGAGAAGATCTTGTAATTCATGGGAAACCCTGCACTTGTTGCTGTTGGGGCAGGGCTGCCGCACGCAGCTGCTATTCGAAACTCAGCCTGATGCCTGGAGGGCGTGGTGCCCAAACCAACCGTCGTTTCTTCTGTTCACTCAGGCAAGAAAGCTAAGAGCAAGTTGGTCGAGGTCGGGGAGCCTCGGCTGCAGGGCGGGCGGCCTCATTCATAACATTCTAGGAGGCAAGAGTATTCGTAAAGGCAGCAGCAAGCCGAGGATCAGATTTTTGGTTCTGCCGATGACGACACTGATCCCGAGAAAGTGCACGAAGAGGCGAGACAAGTTCAGTCTTTGGCTGCCTGCAAACCACGGCAAGTGCAGGAAATGGAAGCCATGAGCTCCTTCTGGGAAGCGGCCACGAAAGCTTCGGTAAGTCGCTTTGCATAATTGAGAGGGCCCTCAGAGAGAGCTGCACATTGCCGAGTTTGCCTTGAAGGCAGTAGTCAAGCCTGTAGAAAGTTGTTCTCCGGTCCACGGAGCACCATTTTGTCAATGCCTCTGTTGGGTTTTGTTTGCTGGTCTAGGCTGCACCATGTTACTTGTGCATATGCCAGAGACCAGCTGAATGCTGCAAGGTGCGGATTCCTTGGAAAGCGCCTACAATCTGAAAGCAGGCTGGGCGCGCGCGCGTGTCTGTCTGCTTATGTGTATCTGTTTAGGTGAACGTGCGTTTGTGTGTGTGTGTTTGTTTTTGTTGTGCGTGTCACCTCAAGAATCTGGCACAAGGCAACTGGCTGGGGAATGGCAAGTGGGGATGGGTGATGATGGCGCCAAAGAAGGGGTCGGACAAGCAGGCAGAAGTTTGCATGCCGGCCTTGCTGGTGATGCCAAGCCCCTGAATCATCGCCCTTGGAAAGATGCGAAACAGAGGCGGTGCTGAAGCTCAGCGACGTGCACCACGCAGATGTTAATGCAAAGGAGTGGGTTTATGGAAGCAAGAGCCTTGCCTGCAGTGTCTGCCGGAAAGATTCGCCATGAAGCAACGCAGTGGCCTGCTGGTGTGCGCACACACTTTCTGTGAGGATGGGCAGAGGTCATGAGAACATAGTGCTGTCCCCAGCCTCGGCATACAGCGCAGTCTTGGGGGTTTTGATGGACAGTTTGTTGCTGCCGTGGTGAAGAGCTGACTCCGGTCCAAGGTGCGATATGAGGAGGTTTTCCTTTATGCAGATGACAATGGGGTGCTGAAGAAGTGCCTTCTCGATGGCTATGCAGCAGGAGCGTGTGTTGCACGAAATGCAAACCTGAAGGATTTCCCTTGTCCCTAGGCAGTGACGACCCTTGACTTGACGAATCCGTCCTCCAGGAAAGTTGAAGTCGGATATTCAGCGCAAGAGCTTTCCCACACACTACGTGTGCCCAGGATGACGGTATTTCAATGTTTCCACCTTTTTGTTGGCTTTGTCCAAGCTTGATGCTGAACGCGGTTCAACCCTAGGTGCATGACAATCGAGAAGATGAATGCCGGAAGTGTGCAGCACTGGCTTGACAAAGAGCTGCTGAGCCCGGAGGGGAGCCTTGTGCGGCTAATTTGAGACGGTTTCGCCGGGTGTTTGGAGGTTGAATTGGTGGCCTGGCCACGTAGGACCATAGCATAGCATGACTGAAGCTTCGACTGGAGAGAGCACACTCACTAGTAGAAGGAGCTGGGCCCAGCGAAGGCTGTACTTACCCCCAACCACCACACATGTGCCAGGTCCTGCCTAGACAAGCTCAGGCTCACTGAGACCAAGAAAGCGTGCGTTGCATGTATAGGTTCAGCCAGTGATGCGTGCGGCTGCCCTTGCAGCTGGAATCTGAAATTGAAGCTGCCACAAGTCATCTGGGACCCGGTGCTGTCGCGGAAGGGTTGGATCCTGCCTTTGCCCGAGGATGATGGTCATCCTGCAAGAAATTGCGGCCGCCCTGGCCTACATGCATGAGAACGGCATTACCCATAATGACATGAAGCTCCGGCCCCAGCCACTTTCTATGCCGCAATCTCAAGATCAAAGCTTGTTGCACCGAGCCCCAGGCCCGAGAACATCTTCTTGCACAGCAAAGGCCGTGCCTACCTCAGTCACACTGGGAAGATACGATACTGCCAAGAGCGATGACGATGACGGTGATGACGATGGCAGCGCAAGTGTCGGCAAGCATGATTGGGCTCGCTAGAAACTTAGCAGAACTATAATGTAAGTTACTGTCAAAGGGATCTGTAATAAATTAATATGGTTTCCTTATTTAGTCTTTTAGTGCGAGATCTCCTTCCTCTAGCCTTTACCGCAGTGCCCCAGGCTACATCCACTCGAAGCTCGGTGACCTCGGCCTGGCACAGAAGTCCAAGAACAGGACCTCCGATGTCACACGCTCCTCAGCGCATCGCAGTTAGTGCGGGCTAGGAGAGACGGGAAGCACCATGTGCCTAAACCTTTGCATACATACATACATACATATATATATATATTATATCAATTTTTACGCACACACACATACATGTGTATATATATATATCTATATCTACAAATCACAATATCTAAGGAGACCCTGCTCCTTATACAATGGGCAGACCCTGCCTGGCTTTTCTTTTTTGTTGCTTCTGCCACCGGACACATGCACAGTTCAATTTCTGCAGCTTGTTGTTCGGAGCTGTTGCCCAGGTTTCAGCCTAGGAGTTTTAGGGTTATGCTGGTGGGGTTTGGAGGTTTAGGGTCAGAGGGAGCTCCCGGGCGACGAGGCAAGGTGGATTCGGATAAATCTGTGGGTAGACGAAGACGGACTTCAGCAGCTTTCCCTTGGGGTGCAAGTTTCAGGCCTCGGGACTTGCTGTCTTCCGTGAAGCATTGTCAGATGAAGGGTCACTTCCTCGTAGTTTATGTCAGCCTCACTCAACATTATCTGGATACAAATCTTGCGGTCGTTTCCGGTGTGGCAGAAGGGCTTTTGGAAATGTCCGCTGCCACATCCTTTGAAGACTGCAGACTTCAAGGTTTGTCGGAAGCCCCTCATTTGGTTCCCAGCGGGGGCTTTTGCAGGCTGGAAACAAAAAAGTGTCTCCTTGCCAAGGATTTGGGATGACAGGCTTCTGCATGGCTACAGGCAGATCGCCAGTTGCTTCTTTGATGTTGTCCTGCAATGGATGTTGCAGGCGAGCACTATGGCACACGGCACTACTCGAAGGAGCTGCATGCAGGGCAAAACGTCGCTATGATGCTGTGACTGTACACGGTTTAAAGAAGCACGAATCAGACAGAAGCCGTTAGATGTGACAGGACAAAGTTTCGACCTTCGTCTCAGAAGTGGAAGCCTGTGTGGCTTGGCAGAGCGGTCTAAAGAGTTGTCATGAAGAGCATGCGAGATGATGAGCACGCATCCAGCGCAGATCCCTGCTGCGATCTTACCTCAAACCCGAGCCCCGAAAGCTGTGTTTGATCGACAGCTATCCAGCCTGCTGCTTCCTTGCGCCATTTGACCACGCTGCCCATCCACAAGTTTAAGTCTTGAGTAGGAGCACCGAAAACGAGGTGAGCGGATGCGGGCTTACAGGGAAGCTGGGCAACGCTCTCCAGGAGTCTTGGTCTCAAGCAATGTTCATGCTACGGCAGCATGGCTTTGCTATGATAGTTTTGCCAATGATGATTTGACTACATGCCGGTATTGCGCTTACTTGTTGTTGTTTGTCGTCATGGCGATGTATGCCATGCTTTACCCTTCTCTGCTCACGCGCTTTGTTTTCAAAAAGCCTGAGACGAAGAATAAGAGCCGAGGATCTGCCAAGACTCCTGGACCAGGTGGGTTTATGGAGGGAGGGTGAGGGGAGGGGCAGGAGCTTACAGAAGGTTATGGAGTTTGATCAACAGGGCTTTCGAGAGTTTTGGCGGGGTTCGGTCTTCGGTGGTTCCGAACGACCCGATGTGAGATGAGGCCCTAAGTGTAGTCTTCAGGTTGGGATCTGCGAGATTCTTAGGAGCAACAGTACACACATGTCCATGCATTTCCTCTCAGGTACTGTCCGAAAAAGCGACTTGACTGAATTGATTGCAGCCTAGTGGGTGGCATTTCCGGTAGGATGACTGCACGCCATACTGCATGATACGTTTTGCTTCACCATTTCTTGGAAGCCTGCACTTGTGAACAATTACGGTAATTTACATCCTCGTCCTGGCGTCCTCTTTCTATTGCCAAGGGTTGATCGTGGTTCCTGATGCCGCATGATTTTTCGGAGGCACCTTTGGGCTCTCTTAGGCGACCATGAAGCAAGTCCGGGATTGGCGCTCGATACAGGGCTTCCAGTTTCTGGACGACAGCCCCTCAGGCTGCTTGCCTTGATCTGAAGGTAGGGCATCAATACTGTAAGGAACATGCATCATGGTGCCTCGCTTGTGGATCATCACTGCCGATCGAGCACTGCCTTTGTTCTTTCAGTTTTGTGATCGAGGTCACAGACCGTTGTTCTTTGCATGTGGGAGATGCAGACCAGGGATGCGTCAGAACCGTCGGCATTGGGGGCTGTGTGGAGGCCTCACGCGATCGAGTTCCGAGACCTTCGTTGGCAGCAAGGTTCCAGAGGAGCTCGGGCATGCGCTGCTTCTCTTCTTGGAACGCAGCCGCTTTTGCAACGGTGCCCGTATTGTCAGGAGAGTTCTGGAGCATCTGGCGGCTACAACAGCCGGGCCACTGAGAGGAGGCTCGCACCTCAGCTTTGCGATCGCCTCGCAGGAGTAATTAGCGCGCAAAGATGACGGGACACCAGCTCCAACGCCTCGGTGTCAGAGTGTCACACCCTGTGTTTCTGTTGGCAGGACCTCCGTTGAAAAGTCCAGATCCGCTTCCGGCTCAGAATTCTAGCCGAACCAGCTTTGCGGACATTCGAACTGCTTGGTATCGGCCCCAGTCCGTGGACCTCACGGCGAGAGCGAGAAAGAAGATCGACATCGACACAGACTGGCTGCTTCAATGCATTTGGCTTGAGGTTAGCGTATTTTAGCTGCCGGCCCATGCAGTACGGTATGTATGTAAATCAAAGGTTCGTATGTGCGAGTGTCTATATTGCACGATACATTGCGCGGGGACCTTGAACAAGTCTCTGTTTTGTTGTAGAAAGGATGCACATATGTATGAATGTATGTATGTGTACATATATATATATATGTATGTATAATGTAATGTAATGTAATGTAATGTAATGTAATGTAATGTAATGTAATGTAATGTAATGTATGTACGTATGTACGTATGACATGTACGTATGTATGTATGTATGTATGTATGTATGTATGTAAGTATGTATGTATGTATGTATGTATGTATGTATGTATGTATGTGTGGGTGTGTGGGTGTGGCAGCAAGACCTCATTCGGTCGACGTTGTAACAAGCGGATATTGCATTTTGTTTGTGCTTTACGTCCAGGGGCCGCCTGAGTCGTGCCAGCACAACCTGCATGTGCTGTCCAAGGTCTCCCAGAGCATCCTTGTCGAATGGCCTTGCCATGAAAGAGTCCCCAGCCAAGCGAGCACAGCGACGCCTGAGCAGATGGGACGATTAACGGGGCCCCCGGCTCGTGCAGAGATTTCCCGCATACTGTTAGATGCTGTTGCCCATTTGCTTGCGTGAGCCTCGTGCCAGTGTGGAAGCCTTCTCCCTGGGCTACGTTGCTGCGTTGCAGGATGGAGTTGCCTTACATCAGGAGTGGGAGCCATGTCGTCAATCTACCAGCTGCTGATACAGTGCTTGTGATCCTTCACTTCAATATGTGCAAACAGCAGACAATTCCAGTGGAACCACTGGCACCTGGCGACACACGAAAGCTGCATCGATAGGTGCTCTGCCAAAGGCTGAGATGCCCTATCCGACTCTCGATTCTTTAGCCAATTGAAGTGGTGTACAGGCACCACCCTCCTGTGCCCAGGAGGATCGTTTCAGTAGCTTTTGCCCAAAGCGTGGCAATTTTCGAGACGGTGAAATGAAAGGGCAAACGGCCAACCGTGAGTGCCTCAAGCATCCTTGCAAAGGATGGTCGTATTACGAAGCCGCTTGCAGCTTGAATTGCTCTTGCCTAGGAAACTTCGACAGTCCCGGGAAAGGCGGGGCGGCATTTGTGTGTGAGCGCGATTTTGTACGCTTCTGTGGAGGGCCTGTACCATAAGGCTCACACGAAGCCGGGTCACCTTTTTTTGTGTGCCCCAGGTGCAAAGGCTACGAAGGATGACGGTCAGCAAGTGGCAAAGCAGAAGGTGCATCGAGAAGCTGTGGCTTGCGGGGAACGATCGCGCAGGGACGTGCAGCGCATCTTACCATGATTTCAGGCCCGCGTTCTGAAGGTCTTAGTCCGGTCAGGGACTCAACGAAGTCTTGTAAGTAATTCCGAATTGGAAGGCGGGTTGCTTCTGCTGCCATCTTCTGCCGGTGCGGAGCTTTGGAGGCTGTGGCTGTACTGTTTCCTGCGGAACCACTCGAACGAAAACTTCTTCTACACGTGGGGAGCCCAGAGTTGGTGGGCAGAACGTCGACGAAAGCTGGATGCGATGTTGGAAAGGCGGGGATACATGGATATCATCGACGACATGAATGGGCCGCTTGTTTGCATTGTTTGGGCTTGTAGACATCGAGATGCCTTCGCTGCGATTCCGAATCTGCTTGCAACTCCAAGCATCGCTGGCGAGGCGGGGTTTGGGAGCCTCCGACGTTTTCGTCACGCTTCTAAGCTTGAGCCCTGGAAGAGGTCTCGTGAAGGGCAGGTTCCCGTCCTCAGCTGGGCTTTGGACTTTTGGACTCTTCCCCCCTCCGTAAGGTCAGAACCGGGACCTCGTCCGCAAAGTGAAGCCCGAGACTGTTACAAGGCACGTATTGCAGGACCAGGTGTGCGTATTCTCGCAGACGTTCCGGAGTTTGACCGCCATCCTCGAAACACCTGACGGCCAACGAAGAAGCGCAAGGGTGCTGTGCAATTTTGGCCATGGTCAGGTTTCTGAAGTTCATCCGGATTCTTGGGCCCCTGGACACCTGGCTGCATTTCCTGAAGGTGCCATCGCCATGACTGCAACGTTGTCTCTATCCTTTGCATTGGCTCGTTTGTGCGCAGGCCTTGTGCGATCCGCAAAACGGTGGAGCTTTGAGCGACAAGCAGCAGCTGGTCCTCTCGAAGATTGCCTTCCCAGGCCTTTGAGCTTGCAGACCATCGCTGTCTCCCAAGCTCCTTCTGCCCGTTCAGGTTTATTGGCTCCTCAGCAAGACAAGACCGCGGTGGAGCGCAACCGAGAGGACCTGACGATCCTTGGATCAGAGGATCCGGTGCTCGATGAGAAGCTGATCCCAAGCGGAAATGCAGGAGCTCATGATCGCCCTTGCCCTCGAAGGGACACGGCCTCGGAAACAGAAGCGAGGGGTCACGGGGTGATTGCCTATGGACGTGAGGCCGATTGGAAAGCCGCTGGCGCGTCTCGGCCAAGTGGATCCCAAGGACCCTGCAAATTCCCCAGGAGGGAACTCATACTCGCAGCACGACGTAGAACGTAGTACGCATGGATGTGCAGGACTGCTTGGGCACCCCACTGCTCACGCACGGGGCCTGCGCCTTACAGACTCGTTGGCTACAGCTCGCAATTCGCAATGATCGAATTTTCGAGCTTGGCCCATTGGCTCATGGTGATGCCGAGATTCACGATGTGGCTATCGCATGGGCGCATCCAGCAGCATGGGAGGTTGGAAAGGCTGGGTGATGAATGGGCACAGACGTTTGTTCACGCTCAACCTGCCCAACCTGCAGGTGCTGTACCACGGGCCCGAACAGCTGAACCTTCCGATCCTTCGCACCAGCAGCTCCAGCCTCGTCTGTGCACAGCAGGCGGCAGAATGCGTAAGACGGCTCGCCCGAGGAGGTCGAAAGTGGGTCTCCTTGGCACAAGTCGTTTGTGCCCCAACCTGCGTACTGCGTGAGCCATTCACGCCATTCAACCTGAAGCCTTGTGAGCACTTCCGAGGTCTGGGTCCTGCAGCCCAAAGAGCTTTGTCAGGCAAGGTCTTGGGATGTGTTCCAACTCCCGTCATGCCATGGGTCCTCATGCAGGAAATAACGGGCCAAAGCTGGGCGACAATCTTGCAGACAGAGGCACGTGAAGGGCGTGAGACACGTCGCGGAACGGGCGCACATCGCAGGCGAAAGCGGTGAGCAGCGCCAAGATCTCGGAAGTTGGAGTCATGCCTGGGAAACGAAAGGAACTCCCGTTCTGCAAAACAAGGATTGGCAGCATGCAGGTTTGATGGGGAAGCCGCACAAATCCAGGTTCCACGGGAAGTGGGAGGTGTTGAAAAAAGGGCCCGTGTAGATGGCATCATCTCGAATGATACTGTCCTGTTAATGTGGCTCAGCCCCCAGAGCACTGCCAGGGATGCGGGCAACCCATTCGATGTCTCCCGGATCGACTTGCTCCGGCTGTTGGCCCGATATTGCCAGGTAGTCCGCTGAATCTCAGAGCAATGCTCCGCAGCAAGTGACTCCTTACGATGTAGGCCCAGCTGCAGCTGGTGGCATCCTTGGCTAAGGCCACGAGTTATGAAATACGATGCACCATCGTTGCATCCGGTGCGTATGTTGACAAGGACCGGCAGATGAACAGCATCATGGCGGAAACCTTACAGGGCCAAACTACGTCAGCAAATGGCATCCTCTCCGCGACAAAGTGCGTCTTGATTCCGCGAGCTGACTGGACCTTCGCAGGCATTGCAGGAGGAATATTCCTACAAAGTTTGCTTGAGTGGCGCTGCGGACACCAGATTGCTGCGACCCCAGCTCCGGGGCTCAAAACCGAAGGAGCCTCTTCTCGGCCCTTTCTCTTGCCAGGCCGTCCAGTATACGTGCGAGCTTCTTCGACCTCTTAATGGCACTCTGGGTGGATAGGCATCCACATTACCAGGTGCCGCCCAAATAGGCAGCTGCATGACATGTTTGCACTTGTCCTTATAATATATTCGTTTGGCCAGCTGAAGGTGGTGGTGTCCGTTCCTCAGCGTTATGGACTCCCGTGACAGAGCCCGGGATTCAGGCAATTCAAGCGCGGTGTTTGAGGCCTCGCCTGATGCGCTCTGCGCGTCCTGGCCAGGCGGTTGTCTTTTTGCACACTCGGATTGTGGCGTGTGGTGTTCTGGCCCTGTGGAAGAGGCAGTCCTGACTTTGCCGGTCTTTCGGCTGGCCAAGGACAGCATCAGTACGGAATAGAATCTGTTGGGCAGTATGAGAGGAGAGCGCTGCAAACTTTGTGCAGTTCCGGCTCAAGACTGCAAAGTGGTCTTTGGCTAGGCCGTAATTTGCTCAATGCTCCGTCCGTAGATGAAGTGCCTGGAGGGCATCCGATCGGCATAGACCATGCGCTGTCCCAGAGTGCTGGTATTATGCGGGTCTTTGATGCCCTACGCCGCCGAGCGACGGGGCCCTGGCATAACCATGTTCAGGCAGGGAGGCATCTGAGCTTCGGACTGTGCTGAGGAGTGCCTTCGCTCGAGAAGTTAGACATTGAGAAGCCGCAAGACGAACGGGAGCTCGCTGTCCAATCCAGGCCACAAGAAGGTTGAAGTTCAAATTGTATGCCCTGGTCGACTCAGTTCAAGCCTGTGGAAAAAATGCCCTGGTCGACTGCTGATGCTGCTCAATTGGCAGGAGTTTACAAACGGAGGTGTCACGCGGCTTCTTGAGTCGCCAAGCCCCGAGAGTGGCTCTCTAGAATCTACAGCACGAGGCACGTGTCAGAAAGCAGCGGCCGAGGTCACCGAGACAGCGATGCGTCCCTTCTGATGTCAGCAGTCGGGGGCTTAGAGGTACAGCAGGGCTGGCTGCTTCGGCTGTTTGTTCTCCAGGAACGAGCCGATGCTTTTCAGCATGTCCTTGGCGCTTGCACCAACGGAACCCTTCGGCTCACTGGCAAGTACGAGGTGCCATTCGAAAAGCGGAAACCTCCTTGTGACTCGTCGTGCCGGGAATGACAAATGCTGCGAACAGGTTAAAGAAGTCGTCGTGTTTCAAGGAGATTGCGACATCGTCGGTGACGGTCCGGGCCCTGTTTGAGGCATCAAGTCTGCAAGCCCTTGCCTCTGATGTAAGGCGCAGAGCTGCAACTTTACGAGCGTTTGATCTTCAATGGCAGCGTGCACTTCTCCGGAGTCATCAGAGTCTCCGCTCAGCGCGCTTTGCTTGGGGCCTGCTTGAAGGTAACAGGCAACTGCACCGCAACGAAGAGTGCCGCAGTGGCCTTCCGGGGCTGCAGCAACGAAGCTGTCGTTGGAGGCAAGAGAATCGGAAACAAGGGGGACTTCAACAGCCGCAGAGGCAGCAGCAGAGGACTGCAATATGTAGAACGAGGAGGTGGTCTCAACGTCTTGGGAGCCCTTCAGATTCTCGGGAATCTGAGCTTTCACAACTGCCACAGCTTGAACAGTGGAGGCGGCGCAGCCAACGTCAGAGGTTGCTGAGCTGCCACGGTGGAGAGAGTATATAGAAGGTGTAGAACGCATAATAGTTAGAAATCATGAAATGCTGCACATAAGCATTCACATGCCTCTGTGAGCTGCAGCCAAGGTTTGCATGTAGGACCCGTGCAGGACTATTAAGACCCCAACTAGGGTCCTTAGTAAGGTAGCTTCTGGGATATACGCAATGTTGACAGCCGCTCCTGTGCTGGACCAAGGTCCAGTGCTCCAAGAGGGCGGAACCCTTGTGGTGACCGAATGCTCATCCGGGAAGCTTGGAGGCTGGGACTCCGCGGATGTGAGAGGTGCATTTCGAGGGCTGTAGTAGAGTTTAAAGAGCGACAAGAGCCGGCCTCGCCAGTGTTGGTTCGTCTTTGTCCGGTGTAATCATGGGGGGGGGATTCAGCCAGGCGGCATCTATGCTCAAGGAGGCTTTGCCCAGTCTGGCGGAGATGTGCGGATCTCGAGAGTCAGAGCAGGCAGCAATGGAGGTGCCGCGTCGCGACTTGGGCAGGAATTGCGCAGCCATGGTAGGACAGACTGCTGGATGCAGGTGCCATCTTGGCAATGGGACGGTTCAGCCAGTCTGGTGGCACAATGCTTATCCAAGAAAGCACCATCACGAACGGTGAAGGAGGCCGGATTGGAAGTGCATTCACAACATCTGAGCCAGCTTGCTCCAGACTAGCAGTGGCCCGTTTGTGAATTATGGGTTGTGTGGTGTGGTAGAGCTGCCCGTGTTCAGAACGAGGTGGTGCCATTGCCACTGCTCCTGCTCCTCACAAGCAGACCACCTTCGTCCAGTCTGGTGGCACGCTGCGAATAGAGCACAGCTCAGCCCCCAAAAGTGACAAAAGAGGAGGAGGTGGAGGCAATGAGCCTTCCTTCCAGCATCTTGCGAAGATTCTTCTAAGCTGTGTCGTGCTCGCACAAAGAAAGACCAACAATGGCAGGAGCCGTTTTCACGAACTTCTTCTACAAGTCCGGTGGCCATATTGCATTCAACAACAGCTCGGCGGTGTCTAACTCCAAAGCCGACAGAATAGGAGGCCACTCGTCTGCACCGGAGTGGCTCCGATCCCAAGGATGGCAGTTTTGGACACTTCTGATGACAGCTGTCAGGTGCAATGTTCGTCAAGGGTGGCTTCAGCATGTCCGGCGGGTTCTTTCGCGCTGAAGACTGCTCCGCAAAGAAATATGGAGGCAGCACTGCTTGCCAAAACAATCCGGCTTCTGTCAACAGCCTAGTAGAAAGATCTGATTCAGATATGTCGTGCAGCGTTGAAAGCTGCAGCTACTGTTCCACTGCATCGCACAGTTGCTTCTGCATTTTCCCATAGTGGCCTGAGCCAGATCTTTAACTCTGTATGTATGCTTTCGCCTTGACCTCCAACCTACTACCTACAGTCTGCCACGAGGTGCAGTCCATATTTACGGCAACATGAGCGTCTCTGGGGGCGAACTCGTTTTCGAGAGATGCTCCCTGAAGCATCTCGTGAAGAAAGCCAAGAAGAAGAACATTTACCAAGAAGAGAAGAAGCATGGGCGGAACCAAGGAGGCTGGTACAGCACCTTGTGTTTTGAGAGCACCCAAACACGTGACACAAAAGCCATCGTGGGTTGCAAGCAGTGGATGCTAGCCAGAAGATGCCAACATTCCAAAAGGTACCGTGACACAGTACCATGGCAATCAACCGTTCATGCATGCAGCGGGGATTACGGGAATCGTCTCTTTTCGATGTATCGGCCTCCGCACCGGGGGTTGTCAAAGTTCACTGTTCCAGATGCATCGCTTTCCGAAGGGCAGGTCCGCCCGTCAATAGGCTTTTTGAACACGCATTGGAGGTTCAGGCAGCTTCTCTCCTGCTTTCTTGTGCCGATGTTCTCCACGTTTTGGGTTTGCAGTACTCAGTACGCCATCACGCTACGTTTTCCAGTCGGAGCTGTAAATCCTACGGCCACGAGCTGTGGTCTTGGGGCAGCTGGCAAGCTCAGTTCTCGTCATAGATTCTTTGGATTTCGGCACGCATTGTTTTTCGGGTGTTTCTATGGAGTTCGCTGGCGCGTATCATAGGCTAGAGTGGCTACAGTATGGGCACATGAGGTCATGTTGCATGGCCGGATGTTGGATGGTGGTGGGTCTCGTCTAGACATGTTGAACGTCAAGCCTACCGTAACTTGCTCATATGCATGTAGCAGAGTGAACGCGAGCGAGACTGATTCATGAATCGAATCTGCTTGCAGCTGACCGTCACACTTGCTGCTTTCTCTCCTGAAATGAAGACACTTGACTTGGCAACACCGGTAATTCGCCTTGACACCATGCTCCACAGCCAAAGCTGTGAGCGCCTACGCTGGAAAGATGTCCTTGCACTTGCCTACCGAAGCTTCGATGTCTCGGCATTTTAGTCTGATGCGCTTCTAACCGTTTCTAGCGGGAGGGAGGTTTGCCTCGTCGTGCCGTCTTTTGATGTCACCGTTAATTTTATTTTGTGCAGTACGGCAGGTGCCATCAATGCCGTTAACTTCATCCAGTCGGGCGGCGCTGTGCGGATTGCAGACTGCGCCACTGACGAAGGGAAGGGTTATGGAGGCAGAGTTCTTCTGACCATCAACCATCACTCAGATAGCCATGTCTGCAACTCTGGGGCAGGTGGTCTTAGTGCCCATCAGAGTCTCATGCTGGCCGATGGCATTCTGGACGTCAGACAGTCTTCTTCATCCTATTATGGAGGCGCTCGGTGTACATTGATGTTGCAGACGCCTTCCTCTGAGACGACTGGGCACAGCTTGCCAAGCTGCTGCCGAACCTCTGCAGAGGGGACCAGTAATCCGCACTACAGCGCAGTATCCAACCTTTGAGTTAGCCGAGGGGTTGCTATTTGGGCTCATGTGTCAGGCCTTAGAACCCACACAATCGCAAGAGGAGCTAGAGTTTGATCTGCTTGCAGAGAATCGGGAAGCATATGTGTGCCCTTCGAAGGTGGCGTGTACACCAGGCACTTTACACAGCTGGGCGGCCTGTTGAATGTGCAGCATTGCTTTGCAGTTCAAGGAGGCCTCTCCCTCTCTGTGTGGGTGGGTAGCGTGGGTGGGTATACGCACACACATGTTTACAGACATGATACAAATTCGTCTGTTCATGCATAGTGTGTCTGCAGTTTGCGCCTGTTTGAAGGATGCTGAGCGAGTTGAGCGACGAGAATCGTGTTGATATGAATTGGCTGCGTGATTTCCGTGGTTCGTGTCAGATGCTATGAATTTCAGTTTTCCCCTCAGTTTGTGTTGAATCTTGCGCTAAAGCAGGTTTTCAATTTCTCAATGAATTTGTTCACGCTTCTCGATGCCAAAAAAAGCTAGACTGCTAGACTAGATGTGGCTCCGTCTTTCGAAACCAAAAAATGCTAGACGTGACCCGTCTTAAAGCGATTACATTATGGTCTTGCATGCATTTCCAGTTTCAAGTGTAATGATGTCCTGCCATGCCTTCGGGCACCACCTGGGCAATCACAGCAGAGCTGGGTTGGCAGGTTAATGTTTTCTTCTTATTCTTATATCTATCATTTATCAGTAGTAGAATTACAAGGGTTAAAGTTTTGTTTTCATTGTGACCATAACCATTATTGCTAATGTTATCTTATCGAAGCCCTGCCCGAGGCCGGACGGGAATTGTCAGAATCTCAGCCCTGAGGGCGCCTCCCCCCGAAGTTACAGGAAAAGACAGGAGTCATAATAACGATGATAAATTTTAAAATAATAACAATATCAATGATAGCAATAATCGTGAAAAATAACTCGTGTTATAGTAAGAGTCATAATTATAGTAACCGTAATATAGTCATATCGATGCAATTTGGCCGCAGTTTCCAGAGCCGGAGTAGCCCAAGCAGTGGGATTTCCAGCCTAGAGTTTTGTTTGTAGATTGCCCTTCTTTATCATTGGCGTGCGCGTCTCTTGAAGGTATATCCTAACATATTCCATTTTGTTTTAGAGCTCCAGCTGCTTGGCTGCGTGATATTCGGGAAACTTAAAGAACACAGGTTCTAAATTACCCACCACAGCTGCAGGGAAATTAGCTGCTGATGCAGTTCGAGTCTCCAACCTTTGACTCTAACATCTGCATCATCTAGCCCACCTGGGCCCTGCACCTGTGTTGATGGGTAAGCCGATTGAGCTTTTCTGAGAATGTTCCAGGTTCAATTCGGGCGAGAGAGGCGCAAAGCAAGCATGGCCCAACCCACGCGGATTTCATCGAGCATTGCTGCAGACAAAAAATAGCACCTATAACCGTAAGCATTGTTTGTAATACTTTCTGTTGAACATTGAAGCCAAAAAACATGTCCAAGTGTTTTTAGCGCAGTTTGATTCTTTTCTGGAGACAATTTCGAGTTTAAATGATTTAATTAGACGACTCCAGGAATCTTCGAGTCAAGACTTGCTATTCTTGCATTGTCATACTACTACCAAGGATACACATATGCCACTTGGGAAACGTGAGTGATGGTTAACGTTCCGGAATCATTGGAGATGCACTCTTTTCCCACATAGCTTTACTGGAATCAAGGCATGAAGTATTATTCGCGCATAGTTGAACCCAGTTGAAGCAGTTTTTGGTCAGAGTTCCATCCGAAAGTATACATGCACATTGATCTGTAATTACATGCGTAACAATATGACTGTGTAGTGTCGTGTATTCAATTAGAATTCCAGCTTTGGTTCCTTGGCAGTTCCAGGCGGCATCTATGTGAACAGTGGTCCAGCCAATCAGATCGCTGGGAACATCTCCGTGCACGGTTGCCATGCATCGGCACAGGGCGGAGGAATATTAGTACACAACAGTAGCTTTAGTAGCCACGGCTACTTGGATGTCCAGCAGTGCATGGCATTTGGCGACAAAGGTGGCGGTCTCTTGGTCGATAGATCCAGTGTCAATTTATCAGGGCGGGCATCATTTGTAGACTGCAGTGTTGACAATGGAGATGGCGGTGGCATTTATGCCCGCGGCAACATTACCATCACTGGGCCAGCAACATTCAAGAATTGCGAAGCCAAGTACAAGGGTGCCATGGCAGCAAATTAGGGCCCTGCCCCCCCCCCACTTGTTTCGTCGCGTCGCCTTGTTGTTCCAAGCTTGTTGGCTTCGGCTCCCTACAGAGCATTCATTTTTGCACACGGGATTGTTAAGTACAGCCTGTCGAAGCAGAGAGGAGTTCTGCGGCGGATCGTGCGTGCCAGGTGGCGGCTGCATCAGTTGGGACTCCGTGGAAATGCAGAATGCTACGTTTGATCACTGCAAGGCAATCGGTGCTGGGCTTTGGGCCAAACAAAGCATCAAGATTGCCTCGACGACTTATATTGGCGAGCCTCAACTGCGTGGTGCAAACAGCTTCATCAAGTGCGACCAGAAAGGAGCCATGTCCTTCGATGTCGTGTATTGCCCTAGAGGCTCCGGACTCCGTGTCGGTGTCCGAGCCATGGGATGTTATATGTGCAACCCCGGCCGCACACGGCTTTCGAGCAGTGGCAACGATTTCTGCGTAGACTGTCCGGAAGAAGCGACTCAAAATTGCACGCCGACTGAACTTGCGCTGCTGCCTGGCTTTATGGTGCCTTGCATGCACCAGCTGTTTGAAGCCGATGGCGCGAGGGTTTTGAATTGGTAGAAATGTCATGAGACGGTGTCTTCGCACTCCTGCCCCCTGTGCTCAGGCCCAGCTCGAGGATCCCAGGAATCTCTCGCGGATCTTCCGCTGCCCAAACGAGAAAGCATGTCCAGGGGGGATCGTCGCCGCAGCTGAGTCGTTCGGCCAACCGCCGGAGACCGTCCAAGCCATGTGTGCGTCTGGATTTGAGGGGTTGGGGTGACTTGGTGGACGTCGTTCAATAGAGTTTCAGGTTAGTGACACACGACACCATCTCTGCCTCTCCCAATCCAAAGCAGTCAACTTCAGAGCCTTCTTCGATAATCTGCTTTGGTCGACTGCACACACCCGAGGTGTTTGCAGTGCAACGCGTCGTCCCATGCCAGATCCGACAACAGTGTGTTGCAGTGCATCAAATGCGAAGACTCCTTCAGTCAGGTTGGCGGAGCGAGGAAAGACTAGTAAAAAAAGTCGCTGTCAGTTCCCCGAATGGCTTCCAAACATGACATGTCAGGTGGCTGTGCATGTGGTGTTCTATGTCGGAAAGGACGGCAGACCACAAGTGGTCCGAGCCAGCGTCACAAGTAAGAGGTCGGAGCAATTATAGCAGGTGGCTGCTGTGCCGTCTATGCCTTTGCTTTACCTTTACCTTCACCAAGTATGTTCAGATGTTTCTCCATCAACAAATCCGGAGGACACCCTTCTGTTCACTTCAGCTGCCCTCAGTGTGCTCAACGTGGGGTCTAAGAAGACCAGCAGTGGAGTCTTGATCAACCAGCTTATGGCCTTCGCAGCAGTGTCAGGGAGCATAATGTCACCCGACTTGGTCATAGGGAACTTGTGCAGGTCGCCGGGTGCTGTGCTGCAGCTAGAGTCCGTCCGTCAGGTCTGGCTTGATGCAAACGCAATCCTTCCGCACACTCAAACAGAGCACCCGGGAATGGTTGAATGGCCTGGGTTTGGCTGTGGATATGTTGCAGGGAACGAACCTCAGCAGAATGGGCATCAAGCTTTGATCGGTCTTTCAATCGTTTTCAACCTGCTGCCACTCACAGCCGCCCTTTGCTGCATGCACTGCAGGGCTCATGCAATAAACCGAGGAGCGGTTCTGCTGGCATGTCCCTCGAATGCATAGCGGGTGACATGGGCCTTGGCAAGTCACTTCTCCATGCACACCTTCTGTCTTGCATCACGCCGCTCATCCTCATCGACACTTGCCATGATTAGTAGCATTTCAAGGCAAGAAACACATCGTTCCATGTGAGGCTGTGCGGCGGTAGTGTGGGAAGGCATCCTTTGATCAGGTCTTCCTGGCCATCATCAAGAGGGACCCTTGGTTGGCGATGGTGGTTGGGACCAATGTCTTCCTGCCTGGCTTCGTGGCATTCTTCGGGAAGTATCTGGTAATGCTCAGGCTGCGGCCGGAGGGCGAAGTGGGAGGAGCGCCCAGAGCCGCAGAAGGGACCTGCTTTCGTTTTGAGAGCAGGCCTCTACGGCACTCGCACACGCCCTGACACCAAGACTCAATGCTTTGTGCTCATGTTCGGTCAATTTCGATCCAAGGAGATGCGTTATGAATTCCTGCCACCAATTCTGCAGTCGCCGAACGAGGTGATTACACTTATCATTGTGATCGTGTCGGCGTGCTTCTGTCTGGCCATATACGGATGGGTGCATGCTGTCACTTGGCGCTTGCCAGCTTCATCTGTCTTGAAGCATGTCTTTACCATCCGGATCCACTGACGAGGGCAACCACCCGCCAAGGCTTTTGTGGCAGTGTTTTGTCCCGTCTGCACAAGCGAGCCCAGGTGCTTCGAAGGGAGGAGCCGCCCCCTGTACATGTAGCATATCTGATGCTGCCATACAAGCCCGAGTTTGCTTTCTGGGAGGCCCGATGGGTACTTGTAGCCTTGGCAGCCGTTCCATGCGAGGTTAAAAAAGGAATATACCTTAAATTATAGGGGCCTTGATATTATGATTTAAGGGTATATTCCTTAATTAAGGAGTGTTGGGCTCTCTGGGTCCATGAAGCCCAGAGTGGAGGTCGAGCGGCTGGTGCGGAAGATGCTCCTGGTGCTCGTCAGCTCGATGCTTCCCACGGCAATCTCTCCCGACTCCTGCCGGAGGATTGTAGCTTCATGGACCCAGAGAGCCCAATACCCCTTTAATGAGGGAATTATGCCTTAAATCATAATAATAAGGCCCGGCATATTCCTTATTTGAGGGGTATTGGGCTCTGTAGGTCTGCTCCAGCAGATGTCCGATTCCAAAGTCCATGACTTAGGCTTTGCAGATGGAGGGAATCGCGCTTGTCCTACTTTGCTCATTGGGTCTCTATGCCTCGTTCCGGCCCTACAAGGCTGGCTTTTGATTTGAAAGAAGCTGCAACCAGATCTCATTTGCTGCACATCGGAAGGCGGATGCCTGGAACCTGGCTGAGATCGCGCTGCTTCTCGTGGCCTTGGCCATTGCAGGGTTGACGACCTGCTTGCTCGCAAACGAGCCTTGTCCAGGTTTCAGATCACCATCCAACTCGAAGACTTTCTTCGGCACTTGCAAATTGAAGCGTTGCACCCGTGCTGTCGTATATGGTTGTCAAACCGTGCCGGTCCCTCGATCTCTCAGGATCTCCACTGGGCGCACTCAGAATCAACGCAAGTCGTATTGATCTACCTGATCTGTTCGCTGGCGGCAGACCCTCAGCTTCATAAAGCCTTTGATCACTGCTCTGCCTGGCCATTCAAAGCTCACGATGGTTTAAGTCACGTTTACGAGATGCCCCTTCAAGAGAGCCCCCTTGGTCTGGCTGATTGCTCGAGAAATTGAAGTTACAGCTAAGGGCATATCAATCGGAATGGCCGTGTTGATTGCCTTCGCCCTGCTGCATGAACGCCGCGAGCGTAAGCAGCAGGACGGGGTGTGACTCTGCGCAGTGGTACAAAAAGAGGCCGTATACAAAGTTCTCAGATTCGTATTGAACGCAGATTGCTGAATGTGATGCATTGGTAGTTGTTTCAGTGCAGAAGCGCTGCGCCACAGGCGGGTTCTGAAATCCAGGAATTGTCCCGCTTGACTTTGGGCCCGGCGTGCAACTGCTAAGAAAGTCAGCAGCACATCTGATCACGCATTGTGTGCCATCGTGTACCCACGCTACTTGTAGCTGGCAGTTGTGGCTTGCAAGTAGCCGGCTTCGAAGCATTAAGATGAATCTTCCCATCATGGCCTCTCACAGCCTGGTAGCACAGGTTAAAGACCAGCTCAAAGGAATTTCGAATGTCTCCCACGAGCGGCAGGGATGGGGAGTTTGCGGTGTCCGCCTTTGGCCCGGTCACTGTCGCCCCGACTGCTGCCAAGTGAACGGCGCATAGCTGGTAGGCCATGCAGGCCCCCTTCTTTCTCAGGCCAGCTTCCCACATGGTCAACTGCCACATTTCTAGGAGCGCTGTCATGCGCCAAAGATCGCCGACTACGTTCGCTTGGCACCTCTCTGCATTGCCACTGGCGCCGTTCCATCTCGCAGCGTGCCTCGCCGGCTGCTCCTGCTACGCCTGTGCCAAGCCGCAGTCCTGTACACATACTATCGGCATGCAATGCATACAGGCAGGAGACTATCATTCTGGAACGGAGCGCAGCCGTGCATGGCTACTCATTCCGTGCTGTTGGACTAGGTGAGCCGTTCACCGGTGTTGGCATGAAGCTAATTCTTTATGACAAGGCCTTGACGGAGATGGTTGGTCGCCAGATCCCGCCGAACGAGCCGGTTTTGCTTCTCGACGCTTGGGACACCATCATATTGGGCCCCGCAGAGGAGTTCGCCGAGAAGCTGCTAGCCAGCAACATTCTGTCCAATGGAGTGGTACTTTGCGGTGCAGATCGTATTTGTGCTCCGGATTACAAAATGGCACCCAAAATGGAGCGGCATTTTCCTGACATACAGACACCATGGAAGTATCCCAATTCGGGATGCATGGTGGGCACCGCAGCTGCTATGCGGGCTTTCATTCATGGCTTGGTCCATGGGACCGACGGTGGGTCATACACAGACCAAGACGACGATCAGCTTCGCGTCCAGCAATTTCTCCTCGGTTGGCAGGAACAAGGTATACGCTACCCTTTTCAGCTCGACACAGACTGCTTTATATTTCAGAACATGGGGGAACCGGAATGCGGCTGGGACTTCGAAAAGGCGGATCCTAGTGGTCCCCGCATTCGAAATCTTACTACGGGTCACCAGCCCCTGGTGGCCCACGGCTGTGGTGGCCATGGCCGGTGGTTCCTCGCAGATATCTACCGGGATCTGGACTTATTGGAATTCTTAAAGATTTCACCAGACGACCTCACCGGGATTCCCTACGCTGGCCTGGTGCCCCCTGGTGACGAGATGAAGGAAGAGTACTGGGTCGATCAACCTCCTTGGGAATTCCCCTTCCAGGCTTTTGAGGTGATCCGTGGTGTGGCTCTCCGTGAGGAGCACGAGGCTCAGAATCGACTCCTGGAGTGATCGAAGTGATTTCCTTGTTGTGCGCAGCGGAAAAGGAGCGCCATGCCTTCCCGCTTTGGGAAGAGGTGGGTCAAGGTGAGCTTTGCGACACATTGCGACTCTGCGTGGGGCTGTCCAAATCTGGCAGCTGCATGCAGCGTTGCCGCTTCGGTTGGGTTGAGCGCTGTTCCTCGAGACCCGTCTCTGGAAGCAGCCATGTGTCGCACGAAAGCGTTAGACTATGGATCGACTAGCTTTGCGACTCTAGTTGGGGGCACTTGAGGATTCCACGGGGGTGTTTTCGATAAGATATCATGCCGGGGGCGCAACCCAGATTTTTGTCACAGCAGAGACACCCTATTTCAGGAGGCGAAGCCTGAAGCCTGGACCGCACCAGCCCTCAGAGTGCAACTCGCAACTGTCTCGCAGAGTCCCGAAACATCTACTGCAGGGGTCAAATTCGCCATAGCAACTAAAACCCTAAAGCCCTAGACCCTAAAGTGAGGCCGAACATGCGAAGTCCTTGTCCGAGGAGGCTGGTGCTGACGACGCCTTTCTGTGTGTGGCCGCAGTGCTGCCGGCCGACATGCACTGCTGCACTGCATGTCAATTGAAAGTTAAAATGTCATGTTGCAAACCACCTGATGATGCTGTAGCCGCGTTGAAGTCGGGTGGATGCTAGGTCTTGTCTTTCTACAACTTGCGGACGACTGAGAAGCTGGAGGGCCTGGTGCAGGCAGCCGGGTACAGATGCCACAGCACGTGAAGCGCGCTTGTCCGAGCTACAATCCTTGAAGGGACTGGGGGCCTTGCTTGAAATTCGAGTCCCCTTGCGGCAGTCAGGGACTTTTATGGCTCGGGTTTGTTTGATCATTCCAAACTAGGGCTCTAGAGTCACGGGGGTGCCCTTGATTCGGCGTATCTCAAGCGAAGTTGATTTTCGCATTGAGCCTCAGAGAGGAACAGCATGAATATCTCTGTATGCTTCACTTGAAAATTCCCTCAACGGCTTATGTTTGCCAAGTATACACTGCACATGCACAGGCTAAAGCATACAAGGACACGATAGACTGATAGACACATGACGACGAGGCTATGGTGGAAATGTCAAGAGCAATGACCAAAACTGCAAAACTGACAATGCAAGCAACAACAACAACACCAGCACCAGAAGCCGCACCAACAACAGCAACAGGAACAGCAGCAGCAACAGCAGCCGCTACAGAAGTCTTACTCGCAGTGTAGTGAGAAGCATGTCAGCTTTTTCTCTCCAGCTGGAGAGGCCGTTTGCCACTACCTGGCGGGCGGTCCCAAGGCCTTCTGCTCCGAGGCAGCAGGCACCCATAGCCGCAGCCAGAGTTGCCCAGCCCAGGTTGAGCATCAGGTTCACAGCCAGGAGGATGACAACAAGCTCACCTTGGCTCTTGGCTGAGAGTCGCATCGTGTGTGCGTGTGTCTTCTGATTTGTGTTCCGAGAGTCTGCTTCTTACAAGGCCTTATAATATTTCAATCAAGGAATCGACATGCTACCTGCTACCGCTTCTTTTCGGAAATGACAGCACATCAGTTCACATCAGTACTTCGCAACCTGCTGTCGAAACGCGAAAGGCCTTGACATGCCTTGACCAAGAGCAACATTATGTTGTAAAGTCACTTGGGTAGTTCTCTAAATTGGGGTCCCTGTTAGGTTTCTTGTTTACAAGGGTGCCGTACTATATCTGCGATCTAAACGCCAGCCCAGCTTATATAGAGAACTACCATGAACAACCCGCTTGAAGGTGGCACACTTTCGCCGGTCTGCTCAGCAATCTGTGTCCAGTCAGACTAAGATCGGCCTCGAGAGGCATTGAATGTAACAGAATTCGACCTCGCCTGCAGGTGTCAGAGCACTCGAGAGATTCTCATCCGAGCATCCGAGCCATGAGACTGAGAAACACGGGAAATTGAAGCACAAGGCGTAGCAGGAGCACTCAGAAATGCCTCCCCCGGTCTGAAGTCCGTGCAGAGCGGTCGGGATCCGGTGGCTAGCAGTACCCGCCACTCACCAAGCAACAATCAGCAAGCAACAATCGTGGATTGGCAAAACGAGGCCATCCCAAACTCACGCGATGATTGCGACATCCTGCGCTTTGAGGGCGATTGCGCTCGAGCCACATGACACCGCCCACTGCAGGTTTCAGGAGGCTCCAGCAATGCAGAATACTGCAATCTCTCCCCGGCATACCATGACCGAGCCACAACCACTTCCTCAAACAGTACATGCAAGCGAGCTGTGCTCACACCATAACATCCCTCCCCAGCTTGCCTGAAACGATACGCGTGACTGAACAAGGTACAACACATGCAGCCGAGCAACCAGCTACAAGCCTGTCACAGTGCGGCATTATTGTTCGGCACAGCACGAGCAACCAGCCAGGAAGGACACGTGCCTCGAGCAAGGTGCAGCACATGCAGGCGATTCATCCTTGCAAGTTCCCTGAGGCTGTTGTGCAAACCTTGCAGTTCTTGCTGCGGTTTGGCTTCATCCGCTCTTTCGAGCCCGACCCTCAGCAAGTTGTTCGTGAGTCGCTGCTGAAGTCAGTGACCGCAGCAGGATTTGCTCACAGCTGCAACCGGCACTGCTTCGGCTCCTGGATGGCAGCACTTGCCTCATGTGCTGAGCAGTCATGGGGTCCGAATGCGTCAAGCCAAACTGTGGGAGATATTGGCCACGCTGGCCCGTTGCAACCCTCGGCCTCAGGAACAGACTTTCTTGATCCACCGGAGGCAAGCCGAGCAGTCCGTCGTCTGTGGTAGCCGTATAGCATTTGCAAACTTCCCGCCCTCTTCTGACCGGGCTGGTGTGGGAATAAGTCAGGGGCCTGTTTCCGGGCAAATGCATGAACTTGTCTGATCACTACTTGTAGCTTTTCGTGCACAGTGGTAAGATCGCCGCAGCACATGTGCCAGGCGGAGGGTTTTGACAGTTCACGAAGCTCTCCAATTATCTCAAAACACAAGGCCATCAAAGCACAAAGCCGTCTATACAGCGCATATAATAAGGCATAAGCCTTCAATGTTAGCTGCTCATTACATGTCAGCCTGGGGATCATGAAAGACCCTGGGTTCACGATGCAAACGACGTCCGTGCACTGGTCGATACTCCTCAGCAACAGAAGGGGTACACATGAGCAGTACACACTGCTGATGCACTCATTGATGGGCGTTGTACGATCGCTGCCAACACCCCTCGCCGCCAATGGAGTCGGGAGAAGCTTGGTACAGACTGTTTGAACACAGCTGTGGCCACAGGAACTGTTGGTTCGTTAAATTGGTTTGTAATATACCGCGCAAGCCGCTTGGCGCTGAAAGCTCGCTCTGCCCAAGGATGTGGACAATTACTTTATGCTCGATATGGAGGGTGCGCAAGAGGAGGGGGAAGAGGACTTCTGGGACGAAGGATGCATGAAACGATGAAAGCTGGGGCTTCGGCTTGAGGAGCTTGAACAGCCTCAGGAAGGCCAAGATGGCGAAGCAGAGGCAGACCTCGGGTGGGCGGTCGACACCGCTGCTGACACCCGGGTCCCGGACCCAGTTTGCCCCCGCATCTTTCATGGTGCGTGAGCCCCAGCCCTACTGAGGATGTGGCGGCAGATGTCGGTGACACCGATTTCGAGGAGCGCTGCACACATGTTTCAACGGGTTTGAACACCACCAGAAGCACAAGCCAATGTGAAGAAGACGTGCCAACATGGATTTCTTGGGTGGCCCGCTCACTGCGATTGGTTGGACGTTTCAGCGTTGCGGCCACTGCATTCGTTTCATGCGTTTTGTTCGGCCTGTCAGGAGTATGCCGCAGACTTAGAAGCGCAAGCGCAGCTGCAGATGGAAGCGGAGGTCGCCGCACGCCATTGTGATGTTTGCCGATCCGTGTGCGCTCGAAAGACCTCAATGAATGCTTGTGCAAGTGTCTGGATGCGCAGCTGTAGCACAGTCAAAGTCTTGACTGCCTTAATTTGGAGGTGGACGCCCAAGCAGAGCTTGCCTTGGCCGAAGAGGATGCCCGCGCACAGGAGCTGGCCCAGGACACTTTCAGTGATCTATATAATAGTATAATAAGATATGAGATAGCAGAAGTACACCATATGATATAATGTAATGTAACATAATACAACATAATATAAAATTCTAGATCTTAAGAGCCAAGTCAAAGTCGCGCGCTGGAATGTTTCGCACAAATCGTCGAAGTGAGGCTGGAACGCTTGGCCATCATACTGTGATAGGTCCGCGGACAGCGAGGCTAGCAGCGGCTAGCAAAGCAGGCCCCAATGCCGATTCTATAGTGTAAGGAGATCTGCGGCTTCGACGATGACGATGGGTGAGAAAGGGGCGGATCCGAACTGTAAGATCTCAATGAAGCCTTAAGGGTTTAAGAGAGAGTACTCTGCTGCGAGGAGGCAGCAGCGGTGGCGGCGGCCTTCGGAGAGTCTCGGTAGCTTCTAAAGATGTCATGTGTTCCTTGTGCATCCGTTCCTGAGAGCTTGAACTAACTACTGGTGGCTTTGAGGCTGCACTTTGCAGGGGATGATTTCTCTTGTTGGTCATGCACTGTCAATTGGTACACTGACAGCGAAATCTCCCTTCCTGGATGACCTGCTGCCTTGTACTGCTGGCTGCGTTATCTGAGGTGGAAGACGAGCTCCCAAACTTCGCAATGGAGTTCGCTCCAGAGAATGGGACGCCCGTCCACATGCAGCATGAGGCTGGGGCCATGGATCTGCAGAAGCCGTTACAGCGGTCCGGCGTCATCTGCAAACGTTCTGGGAGCGACATCATGTTTCACCAGGTGTGACGAGAGTACTCTTAAGCAGGCGTTGGACTTTGAGGCAGCTGGGGAAGCTGAGCCCGGGGAAGAGGCCATGCCAAGTTGCTTGCTTTCTTTGTTCTGCCACAGTCACTAAGCTGGGTTTCTGGCACTTTCTGAGCACAGCAGCCGAAACACACGAACCGTCTCAGGAAGCTCCCGAGCAGGCTGACACAGAGGAGGCTGGATTACATTGAGTGTCTGATTCACTGGCGCATAGTCATGTTGGGGGCTTTGCATCTTGTGCACAATCTTGAGGCCCTCGCCCAGGCACGGTTTGCACTGTGAAAGTATTCTTGCAGGTCGCTGAAGGCGATGCAGAGATGCAAGAGGACGAGGCAGACAGGCGCGATTGCATCCCAGCTTCTGTGTTGGCTGTGCCGGGCCTGATGTTTTAATGAATGGCAGGGCGGATGAAGCCGGCGACAGTGCTGCGGTAAGCCCCTGTGCTGCGCGAAGGATCGGTATGCTGAAGCTAAGACATTGTATTTGTATGAGCTGTTTACGAGCTGCAGCCCTTGCATAGGATTTCTTGAAAGGCATAAACTGTGCACGCGGTGAAAGTACCGTCTGTGTCGTCTTTTGAGAAGATGGCTGGCCTGCTGTCACTGCTAGTCATCCTCGTCAACAATGTTTGATGCCCCTGGTGTGCATGATCACACCCAACTAGACAGGGGTGGCCTGGTAGGTGGAGGTTGACTTCTCGCTTGGGCCTTTGGTTTCAGAGTGTTCTTTGGGCATGCCGTCACCCTTCTCTTTCATTGCCGACTGCGAGCCATGAATCAGCTCCGAGCATGAGAGGGTATGCCCTTAAAGCCCGTTTCTGAAGCTACAGCTAAGGCTTGCAGCCATCACGGAAGCGGTCTCGCGATGCAGCCTTCGCGGAAGCGCAGGAGAGACCCTGGGGATCCCTGGGGCATATGGGTACCACGCTGAGCCATCCCGGGGCGATGGGTCTGTGGTGGTTTGGGGAGATGCCGACCTTCGTGGCGACAGCCGTCGTGCGAATCGCCCCCCGAAAAGCGGTGAGCAAAAGATCCAAGCCACCCAGGCGGCTTTTGCTGCCAGCCTAGACGACGGGTCTGTCGTGATCTGGGGCGTTGCATTTTCTGGAGGTGACACGTCTTCTGCAGGGTGTGCAAGACATCCAAGCTACGTCAACTGCTTTTCTGGCATCTGGGACAACAAGTCTGTTGTGACCTGTGGCGATGCCGCAGGTGGACGTAATCCCCCGGGGGCGGGTGTGAGCACACATGTTTTCTCGCAACATGCATATTATGAAGTACACACACACACTCTATATATATATATATATATGTTAGTGTCTGCTTTTATTTGCGTGTTTGTTTATTTTACTTCTTTGTTCACCACCTACAAAGGCACCAACGCCTGCACCCACACGCACATGTAGTTCATGTAGTCACCTGCTTCTTGGAAGGAGCTCCTCGCGACGATCACACCAGATGCTTGGCTTCTGAAAATGACATGACGTCGCTGTCGTTGCTGCACTATTCTTGCGGTGCAGAGACCATCAAAGTACGTGCGAGAGAGAAAGTATAGATGAAGGATGAAGTGTTCCGAAATCACAGGCGGCTTTGTTGGGGAAGCTTCGGCGCCTGGACCCAATGACGGGCATCGACGAGTATTACCTGGTCGAGGTGTGCCTCACTCAACAGCCAGCCAATGGCTGCCTTGCGCGCAGGTGTTGTTTTTTCGCTTCACTTTTGCACCTCTGGGGCTTCTCTCAGCTCCTCTCCTGCCATGCCGAGCCATGCCCACGGAATAATAAGAAGATATATGAACGTTTATAATCAAATATAATATACTATATAATATAGTATAATATGATTTGCAGGTTGAAGGTCAGAAAGAGTTGGAGGGCCAGGCCCTCGCCGAGGAGTTCCGCTCATCCACGGGACTTGAGGGAGGGCGTTTAGCAGGTGCCGTAAAGCCCTGAGAGGACTTCCAACTCACCCGGGACTTCTACTCCGCACAGGCCACCGACATGAAAGTTGCATATCGAATGCAGCCAGAGCCCTTCGCGGTCTTAGTCTTGTCCAGTCTTGCCTCTGCTCTTGCCGACCATGTCTCGTGACAATGCAGGCGCTGGAGAACTCCCTCGTGTCGATGCGTGCCGCAGTGCAGCGAGTGCAGTCACGAGTGAAGATCCCGGAGAACAGCAGCATGATAGAGGCTTGGCTTGAAGACAGTCTGTGGCCGCCGTCGGATGTTGTCCTGAAGCTGGCAGCTGAGGAAGTCCTTCCAGGCCCTCTGACATGCTCATGTCTGGGGCTGTGCTAAGTAGCACATCGCGCTGCATCCGCACGCCCTGGCTTGCCGCCAGATTGACGCCAGATTCACGTATGTCAAAGCCGGACAAGCAGGCCCACCTGCCCGGCAGGCCGCATCTTTCTTGGCGATGCTGCCGCAGCTCGTAATATCCCGGCCATTCTGCAGAACAAGATTCAGAAGGCTTGTGCAGCATTCCTGCGGTGCTCTAAGCGGAAGCAGCTTGCAGCAGAAGCCTTGCTGTTTCTGCAAGCATGTTGGAGTCTAGCATCTTGCATGAGCAGGTCATTAACTGCTCTCCACAAACAGCCAGCGTCTCAGTCACGACCATTAGGTTCATCATTCGCTCAGCGGGCGCGTCCTTGCCGTAAACTCTTCCTATGGCCGAGGTGCGAGACACAGGCCAGACAGGAAGCATATGAGAATATTTTTCGGAATCTGCACTTTGTCAGGCCAGGGATTCTACGGTCCCGGAGTTGAGTACCTCGAGTTGTGGCATGATGCCACTCTGCCTCCCATAATTAGCAGATTGTTGGCCACTTGCACGTTGTGGCCTCGCGATCTTCGTCCATGGCCCCTGCAGAGCAATCAGAGTCACGCGGGGCAGCTGTTCAGGTTTTGGGAATCTAAGCCGCCAGCAAAGGACTTTGAGGACTATTGCATCCTCTGCGACTTTGATGTGGCTTGGTCCTTCGCCTACTCCGACGACTCGAGCGGCTGGCTTGCGATTTCTTTGAATTGAAAGAGCATGGACCGGATGTGCATCCGCACATTGCAGCCAGTGTCAGCCCATGTCATCACGTGCCTGATTTCACGAGACACCGGGTAGTACTCGCGGCAAATCTCGCAGCATAAGGTGGGCCCGTGCTGGTTCATTGCGAAGCCGGCGTGAACCGCAGCTGCGCCCTCGCAATAGCGATGCGAATCTTGCCTCAGAGAAGTGCAGATCTTTGTCGCACCATATCCATCACACTTGCTTATGCCTAGGTTCGGAGGCAAAGCCTTTTGCTCTCGCCAAGGCATGAGGATCCTGCTGGAGACGAGCCAATCTTCAGACCCAGAGATGCTGTTCAAGTCCTCGTGGTGCCACGTAGCAGCCAGCACCTTGCCTCCAAGATCCGGAGACTCAGAACAACAAAGAGCCCTTCGATTGTGACTTTGGAGCCAGGAAAGCAAAGAGTCCTCACTACGACCGGCTCTGCTCTTAGCCCTCAGGAGGTCCAAGTAGCTGGAGCTTCTCCATTGTTTGTCAGGATTCCAGCGGCAGCTGCTGCTATTTGCCCGCATGGGCTGCTGTTGGTTCCCAACTCTGGATATGGTTTGGAGAACTGTTCAAGAACGCCACATGGCACAGTTCCGCGCACTTGCAGCTCAGATGCAGCCATCTCCCGTGATCGGTGACAGCAAGCAGAGCCGTCGCAAATCAGTCGGCTGTTTCGATGTCGACTCTGCCGCACAGCTCAGGCTGAAGACACAGCCAAACAAATTGTGTGGCATCCTCGGCCCTCGGCCTTTGAACAGTTGCAAGCTGTTTGGAGATTTTGTGCATCAGGTGCGCAAACTCGGCCGCTTGGCTATGTTCAGGGGAGGGGCAAGTCTGAGGGGGCGTGGGCATGGAGGGTCAGGTCTTCAGTCTTCAGAGATCTTGCATCACCTTAAAACCTGCTCCCTGATCCGTCTCGCAGGATTTTCCGCCAGGGACCTGGTGGCGGGCCATCGTTTTCATCAGAGATGCAACAATGCGAGGCCGGGGCACTCGAGGGCACTGGGCTGAGAGCTGCAGTTTTCTGCGACGCCATGGAGGTGAGAAGAAAATCGAAGGAGGCTACGACCTCAGCACCGACTCCAAGCGCAACACTGCGGAGAACCGCGTGCGTGGCTATGCCACATCAGCTGCTCGACCAGCCTTAAGACATCCAATGACCACGTTTCAGCATGCGTTCAGGATCAATAGGATAAGTAACAGGTAACACTTGCTCAGTCATTTCTTGAGCCTGTGTGACCCATCACTGTGTCTGTCACATGCTGTGACGCTCCACAATATAATGAACGATTGCCGGCTACCGCTGAGTTGTATCAGGCCGTTTTTTCATCACAGTTCTGAGTGTGACCATGCAGCATTCAGCACATATTAAGAATTAGATCTTCAGTTCGTACATGCATGCATGCTGCCTACCTGCCTATCTACCGAACGACCGGCCTACCTAACTGTTTGCACCTACTTACCGACCTGCTTGCCTACTTACCTAGCTACCTACTGGCTACCATTGTTGTTAACAGTAGCTTTCTGAACAGTTCATATTCCAGGTCTTACTCTTGCTCGATTTCTCTCTGTTATTACCTTTATTTTGGTGATGGCAATGGCCTAGTAATGGCTATACAGCCACGTATGAAGATGAGGAGGAGGAGGTGGTGGAGGACGGCGACAACGACAACGATGCTGATGATGGCGGTGGTGGTGATGATGACGATGACGATGGGTGGTGGTGGTGGTGGTGGCCGTGGTCGTGGTCGTGGTGGCGATGATGGCGGTGGTGATGATGATGGTCAAAATGGTCTTTATGAATGATTAAGTACATGTAGAAATATGTCTTCCATCTATCGGAGATCAGTGTATACATACACATGATTACTATTATTACTGTTATCATTATTATTACATATATATATACACACACGTACATACACATCCACACACATACATACATACATACATGCATGCATGCATGCATGCATACATACGTACGTACGTACGTACGTACATACAGACATACACACATACACACATACACACATATACACATACATACATACATACATACATACACATACATACAGTACATACACTACATACATTACATGCATGCATGCATGCATACTGACATACATGTGCATACGTGTATATATATATATACATACATACATACATATATATATATCTGTGTGTGTGTGTGCGATTGTCTGTTTTTGTATTGAAGCATGTAGGTCCATACATGCGCACACAGATATGGTCAAGGCAATGCCCAAGCTTGTCGCAGCAGCGAAAGCTGGCCCGACTCCTGCGGCAAGCGCCACACCTGGCTGAGCGAATCGATGATTCGCGCGTCGAGGGCGAGAGGGAGTTTCAGAAATGGGGTCATTTTGTAGGGTTCCTTCTAGTAAGGACCTCATGTTTGTTTGGGGTTCAGAAAAAGGTCCCTGTTTATGAAACTCCTGCATAGGACTCGTAGTAGCAGAAACCCGCTCTGATTCTGCTTACGAACGATTCCAAAGCCAGTTGAGCGGGTGGGCGGGTGCATCGAATCATCGGATTTTTGGGGTTTGGGGCAGTTTGGGTGCATCACGCAGGCTTTGTAAGCTCAGCCCGAAGCCGCGCAGGCCATGAGCGAAAAGCAGCGCTTGGAGCCTGGCGGGCTTTGCTTGGGGTAGAAGTGCTAGGTCCGGGTGTTTTTTTTGCCAGACCCGAGCTCACGGCTAGCAGGAACCCTCGCCCATAAGCAAGGCTCAGGGTCTTCAGACTATTGTACACTACATAAACGAGCTTTGCTGAGTGGACGATGTCGTTGCACCACCAAGTTTGGGATTCACGGGCAATTGCAGGTCCTGCACGAAGGCTTCAATCAAGGACAACATCGGCTTGTATTGGATTATACGTCTGTACGAAAAAACCAGACGACTGGATGCTTATAGGGAGGATTTCGAGAGTTTCGATTGGACTAAGGGGCCGTGCCTCTTGCCGCAAGTGTTTTCTTCGGTTGCATGGGCTTCACAGCCATTGTCCTGCTCGCACACCCGACTGCCCACGAGTCCACTGCAAGCTCTCGCTCTACCTGCCCCTCAAGATACTGGTGTGGCCAGCACATGATTGCATTGCACATGAGGCGGGGAAGGGACTCTTGGACATTCGCCTGAGCGGCCATCTGCTGAGATGCCAAGAGCACAAGATAGCGCGATGGTATTGTCCTGTTGCTTATTGATAAGGTCGCCGCTCCTTGGTGTTGGTGCAGAGGCAGTGGGTTGCTTCGAATTGCAATGGCAGCTTGAGCTGCAAGCTCATGAGTGCTGCACACCAACGAGTGGCATAAGGCATAAGTTTGTCTTTCCTACAATGCCGGCAGGTGCCTGCAAGCGGTGTGCGTCGCCCACCAACGAACGATTCGGCCGGGAATGGACTCTGATGATTTCCATTTCTTGCTTGCCTCCGATGCTGGGGATGAAATTGATCTAGGACCCATCGATCAGACTTCAGACTCAGTAGTGCTTTGTCGAAAACTTCGTTTGCGCGCACCTCTCCACCACTGGCACAGGCACGCCGGTTCCTCCAGTGCATGTACCCGAGCCGTCATCGTCTTTTCAGCACATGGCATGGTGCATGCTCATGCTCCCTCGCCTCTGCCGCGTCCCTAAGGTGACGAAAACATCACTGTAGTGAACTCCAAGGCTCGAAAGGATCGTCTTTGCGAGTTTGGACACGGCTTTAGGGCGACAGCTCCTAGGTCAAGGGAGGTACTCGTAGCGGCGACTGTTGATTTACCTTCATCCGCTGCCTCATCGGCTCCAAGCGTTTGTATAGGAACCTCCGTGTGGCTGCGCGACAGATGCATCGACGGCATGCTGCAGAGTCGTTGAAGAAGCTTCAGAGGACTTGATGGTAGCCAGCTATGTCTCGGAGGACCAGCTGGCCGCCAACCTGCGCTTGTTGTCCTGTGTGAAGGCCAACGAGATCTCCGGAATCGATGTGGCCATTGACCATGGGGCAGATGTGAATTTCGCAAACTTGCAGGAGCCCATCAATCTCCAGACACCGCTGAGAGCCGCCTGTGCTTTGGCGAACGTGAAAATGGCGAGGCTTTTGCTTTCCCAAGGTGCCGATGTCTTTGCCCATTTTGCCAAAGATGGCTGGACTGCTCTGCACAGTGCCTGCTATAGCGGCCATGATCATATAGCGAAGCTGCTACTCGAAGAGGCTGGGAGCCTGCATGAGGGCACACTGCAGGATGGGTGGGGCTTGATGCATCTGCTGGCATTGTGTGTGACCGACCGGCTTTCCAAGCAAGGGGCATCCCTGATTTGCTGGATTCTGAAGCAGATGCCCGGTGTTGAGTTGAATGCTTTCTCCAAGCATGCCGGGTTCTATGATTGGACACCTCTGCATGTGGCTGCAGCCCGTGGCATGACCCAGGTTTGCAGCGCTCTCCTGAAGGCAAAAGCTAGCGTGTGGGCATCGACTGGCGACTTCCATGTCAGCTCCCCACACCTGAACAAATTTGCGTCGGCTGGAAGCATTGCATCCGTCGGCGCTGGCTTTGACAGAGTGGAGGGCCGCCACTTGGACAAGGGCTTGCTACCCCTTCATGTTGCTGCATTTGGAGGCCAAGCGCGGACTTGCCAGCTCCTGCTGAGGCAAGCCCCCAGGTCACTCCACACCATGACGCATCGGCATTGCTGGACGGCCCTGCTTCATGCTGTTTGGAGCGACAGTGCAGAGCTGGTGCGCGAGCTGTGCCGGCAAGGCGCCAGAAAAAGTATCAACGACATAGATCGGAGAGGAGACGGAACGTCGTGGTCGCCTATCTCCCTGGCCGTGATTCGTTGTTCTCCAGACGTGGTACAGGTTTTAGTGGAGTACGGGGCAGACCCCCTGATGCGTATGGCTTTAGTTGACTTCCCAGGGTCTGCATTCTTGAAGCACTGCTCTTTGGCATTGCCGGATGCAGCTGAGAACACCTGGAGCGGACCCGACAAACGCATTTCTTTGCTTCATCTTGCAATTTGCCGTGGATCCAGCACTATGGTCAAAGCTCTGATGCCCCTTCTGCGTTCAGCCCATCAACAGCCAGTCCGCCTGAGCACAAGTCGCCCCCCTTTAACTGGCAGGGGCGCTTCGCCCTGGCAGGACCTACAGAAGGAGACAAAGGAAGCCTCCTTCGGTCGCTCTGGAGCCCAGACGCAGCGCGCAGTACGCCAGGATCGCCAGGATTCGGCGCGTGAGCGCCTGAACAGTGGCCCAGCCTCAGAGGCTCAAGGCAACGATCCCGTGACTTTTCGCACAGATCAGGGATGGTCTCCTGCCATCTTGGCTGTCCTCCTTCAAACGGTTGATCCGGATCGGATGGTTTGTCCCTTTTACATCACCAGGGGATTTCCGGATCGATCCGTCGGTTCCAGGGCTGATGTGGTGAAGGAGCTAATGGACGGTCCTTCCTCTCCCTTTGCAGAGCACGAGGCAGATAAGCCTCTCGTAGTCCCACAACGCTTCCCAGATGTTGCCGCGACTTTAGTGAACATGGCCATCAATGAGTTCTTACGTCTGTGCCGAGGCTCGGCAGCAGAAGCTGTCGACCAGATTCTGCAGTCTACACTCTGCGCAGCATGCCATTTCAATCGAGCAGAAATCGCACAGCACCTCCTTGAAGTTGGCCGGTGCGATCCGCGATGCACAACGCTGAAGCCGGTCGAGCAACGTCCCCTGCACATCGTAACTTCTCACGGCTACGGGCGGCTAGCTCAACTGCTTTTGGATTACAAAGCGAATCCCTTAGAGCCAGATGAGAATCGGCAGCTTCCGGTGGTGAAGCTAACGGCATTCTTTGAGAGTCAGCTACAGCGCTTGCAGGCCAGAGTAGCGGAGTTGGAAGCACAACTTTGTGAGGCTGACAAGGCCGACAGTGTCTCAGTGAAGTCATCGCCAAAGACCGCTGAACCATCTCGGGTGGGCCGGAGGACAGGCGGTGGTCCGATCGATGTTGCAAGCTACGAAGCTTTGCTGCACGACTCCCGCATGTGACACCAAAGCCCGAGTTCTGCAAGGGCTCGCGCGGAGACTTGTACCTCCCAGCTTTAAGTGTTCACTCGCGTGCGATTGCCTGCGTCAGCACACTGCTGGATAAATTCGTCCGAAGGATGGACCTTAAATGCGAAATGCAGCGCTCTCGAAGCGTGAAAAGCTCGCTCATACTCACATACAGATGATGCCTGGGCTGACTTTGGTTTGAGGGCACGTGGCATGCATGAGGACTGACTGCGATGCACGTGAGAGACGAAGAAGGAAGCATCACACACGGCTGTGAATTTGGTATGCGGTGGCAAGTTTCGGAATACGCAGGTCAGTATCGCGCAAGCTCTTCTTCAGCTCAGAAGCTTGGGACATGAGCTTAGCTTGAGGCCATCACGTCCAATCCTTAAGGAGACCAAATCATGAAAGTAGGATTCGGCTGCGGCGACATGCTCCCCATGCACTGAGGAATAGATGTGCAGATATCCCAGGTTCTCGTGAAGCCGGCGACCAAGATTCGTACAGAAGGGGAACGATGAAGGGTCGATGCTGCGAGTCAATAAAGAGCCCAAGGTTTCAGGAGTTTGCACAGGGGCACATCCCCTTGGCTGCCATGGTCGACACTGCGCTGTCCCTGGTGTACTCCACAATTTCGAAGGTTTATGAAAGTGCCCAGAAATTTCCAAGCGCTTTTGAGAGGTCATTGCGGTGATGGACCACCCGGTGATGCCCTTCTCGCAGCCTGGCTTGCGGTCGCCGAACGTCGTGGCCCAAGCAGCAGAATCTTAAGCAAAAAGCAGTTTGCAGGACTTTCAAGAGTGCAAGGTCTTCTTCAGAGCGTTGTGTCATACAGCATGCCAGCATTCACTTTGGATGTCCAAGCGAGTTGGTGTCACGGTCAGGCCATGCTGATCGATTTGCTCATGTACGAGGAGCCAATGGAGGTTTCTAGATGGTCCCATGCAGTGGATCAGTCGCGCCTTGCCTGGCGAGGATGCGAAGATACTCCCGTTGGCTTTGGAGTTGATCTGTGGAAACAGCTATTCGGCAGGCGGATGGTTGTGAACACATGTTGCTCCACAGCAGTTGCATTCCCGCGACTTGCAAAGTACAGGAGTCGGGTTTTTTCGTTCAAGTCATCTTTCTTGGCAAGCCGGTGCCGCCGAATCTTCAACATGCGCGGCCATGGCCCGAAACTGCATGTGGTTGGGTTGTAGCATGGGCTCCTGTAGTATTTTATAGCTGCCCGGCTTCAAAGCGGACGCCGCTCAATCGAAAGTCGTTTGTGGGACATGAGGGGGGGGTCATCCCGCAGAGTGGGAGCAGAAAGTCGTAACTTTCTAGCCAGCAAAGCTAAGCCAGCGCCAAGCTGAAAAGTGGCCACCAGACCTGACAAGGCGAGCGGGTTTCCAGCAAGCTTGGGTTGCCGATCGACGCACGACCATACCCTTCTCCTGCGTTTGCGTTTGCCCTTGGGAGCAACTCGGGCAGAGTCTTTATGCTTGCTTATGCAGGCGACTTCCTCGAGGAGCTCGAGAAGGCAAAAGTTTGTGCAATCAAGCTGCTGAGCCAAAAAAGCTTGTTAGTCACTGTTAGTCTGAAGGTCACGCTTCTGACGGAGCAGCAGGATGCCTTAATGAGCCGGCCTCAGCACGAGGGTTGATTTTTTTTGTGCTGACTTTTGCGGCAAAGTTCGTGGCAGCTTGGAGTTTGGCTGGGTCATTTCCATCGGGATTGGACCGCTTGAGGCAGCAGCTCAAATCAGATGTGGCGCAGATGAGCAAGATTCTCTACAGTTTCGAGAACTGGAGCTGCGAGGACTGCTGGAAACAGCAGAGTTCTGCGTTGCCATTTTCCCCTGCTTCTTGTTGTTCGAAACGATCTTATAGCTGGTTGGTGTTCTTACTGTTGATTTTGTCGCTGCTTCCTCTTTGATGGGAGCGATGATGCTGTGTTTCAAACTCCGTGCAGGACGAGTTTTCCATCTCAGACCGCAAACCGCTCAACGAGCTCGAGGAGATCGGCTCACTCCTTAGCGTCCTTCCAGGGGCTCATGGGAGCAATGCTAGTGCCTCAGGACCTGGTAGATGTGAAAGTTATGACATATAGTCATATAGTTGGCAGAAACATCAAGATGCCCAGCGGGAACAAGGCTATGTAACCTGCCTTTCATCCTAGACGGTGTTGGCAAGGCAAGCGCTTGCAGAAGGCGTGTTCCGGAAACGCCCCAGCTTCAGGCAGGCACCCGAGACGGCAAGTGGCAGAGAAGTGGGTGGGATGAGCTAGACTAATAACTACTTTGAGAAGTGTTTGTGTCTTAAATTGACAGCCTCGTCCAGCAAGGCCGGATGGTCCAAGACATGCTAATTCACACCGACTTCGTCTCGATCGCTGGATACTGGTTGATGCTCGACTGGCAGGACCGATTCATTCTTCGTGCTTCTGTCAAGACTTCCTCGAATTCTATCCCGTTATATAGATTGTGTCTTGGGTCTCACCTAGCGTGTCCGAGTGTCACATTGTGCCGAAACGCTGAAACCACCCTGGTGCGATGGTTCCAGGACACGAACCCCGAGAGTCGCCTCCTCCATCGGCGACTGACTGCCATCGTCTGCAGCGCGTGCATCCCAGTTGGCAGTTGGCAGCACAGGCGACGCGGAGAGATTGGCGGGTTTAGGGTTTAGCGAACATGGCGACATGTTCAGAAGGGGACTCGTCGGTCACCATGAAGAGCGACCACAGGTTCGCAAGCAGAGTTGCAACGAAATGCCGTAGCTTCTGTGCCATCGGGCACAGCTAGGGCCCTTTCACGGAGGCGAGGGAATGCGAATCACTGTGTGACATAGATGATGTAGACGCAAAACACAGACGGGGCACGTTTGTTTGAGAAAGCGCACGGGGCATTCTGGGACCATGTTCTTTCAATGCAGGGCATGCAGTTTCGGAGGTACAATACAAGAGAGAATCCTTTGTTGCTGCTTAGATTGCGACGGCGTTCTGTCGCAACAACCCCAAGAATCAAGGCTGGCTCCACTTCCAATCTCCTGATGTTGCTTTCTTGTGCAGAGCAGTTCTCCCTGTCAGTCGGAGTGCAGACCAGTGGCTTTGAGTGGCACAGCAGGTGTCTTTATGGACTTCCTCCCGGGGTTGTCGAAGGTCTTGGACGAGGATTCTGCCATCTGCGTACATCCTTGGCAGTGCGGCACTGTGTATGGACTTTGAGTAGGACGACTTTCCTGAGAGTGCAGCGCTGGTCGCAGAGATTTTCCGCCGATCCCTGAGATGATTGAGATGGCAGAAGATGCCGTGATCCACATGATGCATAGATGTTTCATGATGTTTCTTTTTCGGATAGCTCTGCATCTCTGTGTAGAGACTCCAGCATAGCCAAAATTGATACAGGAACATGAGCGGATCTTGGATGCCGAGGTGGCAACCTGACGAACTGCGAACAGGTGCCGGAGGCAAGTTGTCGCAACAGATCATGACTGAAGATTCCTCTGACAGCTGTGCTGTGATTACTGTATGGTGTGCAGGAGTTGATCGAAGCATTCGGCAATCAAATGGCCAGAGCCCTGGCAGTGGCACACATGCGCATCTGCCTGTCTGTGTGTCTGTCTGTATGTATGTATGTATGTATGTATTTATGTATGTGTGTGTGCATGTACGTAACTACGTATGCATGCATGCATGCAGGCAGGCAATGTATGTATGTGTCTATGTGTGCATGTATGTATGCAGCATGGGCGATCGCGTAGAATCGCCGATTGTTGGCACCGGATGCCGTCATATCCATGGTTGAGTGGAGAGAGGCAGCAACAGCGCGGACAGAGCCGAACAAAACAGCTGCTTTTTTGGGCAGGGTTGAGGACGTTGGGCCCAGATGCCCGGTCTGCTACGATGAACCTTGTGTCTCTTGAGATCTACCTGTCACTGAAAGGAGTTACGTACATACAAGCTTGTCAGTGGCTGGATATCTCAGGTGCAGAGCATGGCACCGCTATGTATGTATGTATGTATGTATGTATGTATGTATGTATGTGTATGTATGTATGTATGTATGTATACATGAATATGTAGGTATACATGTATACATCCACGTAAGTATGTATGTATGTATGTATGTATGTATGTATGTATGTATGTACAGGTCTCCCAGTTACCTCGCCTGCTACGTCGAGAGCGAGTGCTAAAAAAATGTATGTTGTACATAGAAATCTTTTGGGTAGTAATTGTTTGTGAGTCAGTGTGCCGATAGCTCTACATGATTATCAATCGAGACGCTGCTCCACTGCACTCCTTTGCCTTGTTTGACAAGGTGCGAACCAAGCGTGCAGGGCGCTACGTGCCCGGAGCTTATGCCACTTGCAAGCCGGGCAATCGAAGCGTACGAATTTGTTCCTTGCCTGTGTTTCAACGAGGCCTTGGTACACGTTCTTCTTAAGCAGCATCGTCGCCGCGTCCGCCTCAGCTGAATCAGCTGAACGATCTGCTTGGGCACCGGTTGTCGCTGGTGTTGCACGGCTCAGGAACACACAGTACTGTGCCGCCACACTACGTAGCACGTAGGGTATCTGCATGTGTGCTGCAGTGTCTCCGGCATCGATGCTTGTCCTTGACTGCAGCACCTTTTTTGATTGGCCCAACATTCTGCCGCCCAGCTCCTGCAATTTTGAACCATGGGACAAGCCGAGAACTTGGATGTAGAGGGAAGTTGAAGCGAAAAGAGAGAGAGAGAGAGAGAGAGAGAGAGAGAGAGAGAGCAAGCAAGCAAGCAAGAGGCTGTGTTGAAGAAGTGAGAGTGAGAGAGAGAGCGAGAGAGAGAGGGAAATTGAAGGATGCTGTCGGCCTTGTGCGTGCGACTCCACATGCGCAGGCGATGTCAGACATGGCTGCGACACTGTCGGACACCTGCTGTGGCCTGCTCGCAGGAGGATTCATGTGCAAGCGAAGGGGCTCCAAGCTTAGCCAGGCCCATGCTTTTCTTTGTCCCGTAGTCCTGTTGACTGTTTCGAAGCAGCTCTTTGTGCCTGCGAACTACTACAAAACCAGTGCATCAACTGCAGCGTGCTTACTTCTGCCTGTGTGGGATATGCTCTCGACCCTCCTCATGACGCCCGGTTCAGCTTCTCGCCTGAGGTGGTGAGACCACAGGAGCGAAGGGCGAAGAATTCCGCTTTGGCAACCGGGCAATCGCTCAGCTTCGTTGGTACATCCTTTTGCCTGAAACTTCCACGGTTTATGTCTCCGACCCCGGCGGCGCAGGAGAAGATGAGATCAGGAACGTCGCTCCCGACCTGATGCCAGGTGACATGGCTGCAAAACCTCATTGACAATGACAGCGCTTTACTTAGCCTTTAGCGTGGTTGGGCCTGCAAAGGGTTTCTTTTCTTGGACTTGCATCAGCAGCCTTTGATGTTCGCTGCGACTTTGCTTAGCTGGGCGGATGAGAGACATGAAAGACCGTCGACATCACCACAGCCTACAAGGGGCCAGTATACTGTAGTCAACCCTGTCGTTATGCTCTCACGTCGGGCTGGCTGGGTGTGGACCTGGGCCTCTTCACCGACGTCCAGACCCCTAGAGGCCCTATCTTGGCATGTTTCCAGACTCTGAGGCACGAGACCCGCCAGGGTAGCGCCGCAGGATGTACAGCACCTCAAGGACAATCTGGGCGCACGACCTTCTGCTGCAGTGCACGTGGCCCACCCGTGTTTCCAGCCCTGCAAAGAAACAGGACATGGGCTTCCAAGAAGTGGCCGCTACAAACGCGCTTGAAGCCTGCAATGGCATCTCGGACATCAAACTTTTCCGTGGGAACGGTAAAATGTTTCTTCAAAACGACTTGGGCTTGAAGCTTAAAGCAGCAATGCAAAGCCACATGCGCAGCGGCAAAGGCGGGGAAAAAGCTAGCTGTCGCTGCTTCCAAGGCAACTTGGACCAAGCAACCCAGCTGCTACTCGCGCCCCTCCCTTAGAGCCACAGGGAAAGTGCTGTGATGATGCCCAGCGACTCGATAGACACGCGCCGACAGCATCAAACTCGACTGCCCAAGTTTGGCAAAGCACCTCAGCGACTGCAGGAGTGCTGCTGCCGAGTCCCCAGAGATGGCGATTCCGCCGCCACCACCGCCGCCAGCGGAGGCACCCAGACGAAGCCGAGGAATGAGAAGTCATAGGAGGCCCTTGATTTGCCTGACGGGTGTGATGCCACAAGCTCTCGTCTCGAATACTGTCTGGTATGCAGAGATGAACGAGACTAGTTTCCAATCGGAGACAGCAGTGGACAGGCCAGAGCCAGCAGTCCTTGGGCAGAGTTGTAAAATCATTCTGTGCAGTTTTCCCTGCTTGTGGTGGTGCGTTCCATGGTTGGCCACTATAGAGCAAACCAGCCCCCCAGCTGTGAGCTTGTCATGTCATGCCGGAGGTCGACCCTCTTTCGGAGCGGCTCGGTGGGAAGCGTTCTGCTTCTTTCTCCTTCTGGACACGAGTCGGAGGGTATTGCAACTGCAGCATTCACAAAAAAACTTAAGTAGCTGACAATTTATAAGGTCTGTTGAAGGGCGCCCCTTTGTGTTCTGAACTGGAGTCTCATGTGGCCACCGAGGAAAGTGGACACCCTGGTCGGCATGGGCTTCACTGAGGCCAAGGCCCGTGATGCCCTCGATGGTTGCAGCGGCAACCTGGAGCGAGCTGCCTCTGGGATATCAAAGCTTGGGATTTCAGGGATGAGATCTTTAGGGTCTGATTGATGTTTTAAGTTTCTAGGTTCATGGCTGTTTAGGGCTGTTTCGGAGGGTTTGCAGGCGACTGGTTTGGACTTGACATGTGCCAAGAAAGTTTTCAGAGTCTTGCAAGGTCGAATATCTCACCACCCAAGCGTCGTGAAGCAAAGCAGGACGCACACTCTTCTTGTAGTGGAGGTGCGGAAGACGGAAAAGATTCCGCTCGCAAGACAGTATGTAGACAGATGACATTGCCGTGCAGATTTCCGATCTCTGCACCTCTGCGTGCCTTTGGCACTGATGCGTTCTGAGCATTCCTGCCAAACAGCTGAGTAGCTGGTGCTCGTTTCACCTGCCCCGGAAGGTTGGGCCTATAGGACCAGGAGCAGCAATGCGCTGGTTCAACACTTAGTTGCCCCGATGTTTGCTTAAGTGGGGCAGGGCGGCGGCCAAAGACACCGGACCCTGCCCCACGACTCCATCAAATTAGTTTGCATAGTGCCAGCAGAACCACCATCTCTCTACTCGAGCAGGACTGAAATTTGCCCCTAGCCAGCTTGCATGACTCGCCATTCCACGAGGTGTTGCCCTAGCCGTCGTTGCAATGCCATTGCTCCGTGCCTGTGGCCTTGCGGCTACCTTCCCGACAGCTTCAGAGAATCGGGCACGCGCGAAACGCGCGAAGAAGGAAGGCCCCTCGCCATGGGCTCTGCCTGCAGCTCAGAAGTTGTATTGATTCGGCGCGTTCAGGATGTTGAAACTAGGAGAAGACTGAGGTTCTCTCAGATCCATGCTGTCCCTTGGCTGATCTTGGCTGGACTGGTTTTCCAATCAGAAGCTTGGTCCAAAAGCTGAACTGCTTCCGTGCTTGAAGGTGGCAACGGGTCAGGAGACGATATCTCGGGATGCAGACACTTTATGGCCGTATTGACTGTTGCATGTAACCTCAAGTCCCCGCAGGAGATGATTCGACTGAAACCAGGGACGTGGTACCAGCACTCGTACCAAGCACCTGTGCGGCATTCGGGAGTTGAGGCAAAAGAGCGTGTCAGATGTCATTGGATGGCGCACGGCTGTGCGGGCAGAGGTGCCGAAATACCGGCTCGTTTGACCGACAACACGAAGCTGGCAGGTCGGCCTTCATAGCATGGCTCAGAACCTGAAAACCAGCTTGTACTAGAGTTCACGATGCTTGTGCCATCTTCAGAGGTCCAAAGCCCAAAGCAAAGAAGCCTAGAAAAGAGGACATCAAGACGCTCAAGGAGCCGCAAAGTGGGGCTGTGCAGTTGTTATGTGCAGTTTGCGTTGGTCTGAAGAGTCCAGAAAGGAGATTGAAGCACCTTTTTTTGAATGGGGTAGTACTTGACCAGCTTCTCTACAGGATATGGGCTTTGAGGAGGTTGCTGCGAAGAATGCGCTGGAAGCGACCAACGGCTGCCCGGACGGAGAAAGACGCTGCAGAGCGTGCAAAGTCAGACTTCTCTTTTCTGGACCAACACACTACATCTGCAGGCAACCTTGACCAAGCGATGCAGCTGCTGCTGCGGGGACCTCAATTTTACGGCTAGAGACGTCTTAGACGACTTACCGTGCAGCTTCGCAGGTCAACTGTCTCGCCCGAGCCCGCGCCTCCAACAAGCCCGCGTTCCCCTCCGGCGCGAGCAGCGCCGACTCCGACGGCACCTGTGTCGAGTGCCATGGACGAGACGCTGGGACCCAAATCTATGGGATGCATAAAATGCTTGAGTGTGTTTAATTATTGGGGAGAGCAGGAATCAGCCACATGGCTCTCGGCTGACCGTCAATGGATATTCGAGTCTATGCTGAGGAAGATTGCTACTCTCGTGGGTATGGGCTTTACGGACACCCAATCGCGAAATGCATTGGACGGCTGCAGTGGGAATGTGGAAAGAGCGGAGCCTTGTCAGCAAGACCAGTTGCAATCCAGTTGCAACCGGCAGCTGCAGAGACCCAACTTGATGTCAGGTCGAGTACCTCATGGCCTCGGGCGAATGAGATCGGAACCAGGCCTAGGGTGATTCAGCGGGCACGGCTCAGGATTAAATCCTGGGAGTCGTGGACTGCACGTTCTAGACCGGGCTGTGCAGCCCCAGGAACAGAGGCCAACAGTGACAAGTGCAATCGTTTGCGGCGGTGTAGGTCTCATTGAATACGTGCTTGCAAACACTACCAAGTGTCAAGTCGGTGTTAAACGCCTGGAAGCTGCATGGTGCCGAAAGTCGCAGGGTCTCACCAAGATCAGCACTTGGCTCCAGTGAGGAACAGAATCCTGCGGCACCATGACGCAATCGGATTTTCGGAGCTTCGAGAAGTGATGGAGCTGAGTGGCTCTTGAGCCTGCCTCCGGCTTTTAGCCAGGCAGCCGAGGCAGTACCAGACAACAAAGAGCAGAAACGCCCCAGTCGAAGCTCCGCGGCTCGTGCCTGCATTCGCGTATCAAACCTGGGAGCACATATCTGCCATTGCTGAAGTGCCGAGGTGGGCTCCCAAGGTGTATCGAGGAACCAGATCCTTGTGATCGAGGCCGGAAGCCATACCGACGATTGCTCCATGTCGACTGATTTCACCACCTGCCTGCAGTGCCTCCAGAAGCACAACGGCAAGAACCTGATGAATGCGGGCTTGATGCTGGCAGCCGACTAAGTCTGCATGCTCGGGTGGAGACATGATGCCGCCTGCCCTCGAGGATCGTGTTCGGCAGCTCATTCAGAACTTCACCTCAACGGACAGAGCTGGGATGGTGACTCTAGTTATTGTAGGCCGACAGCTCCCGGAGCCTGGGCACGACTTGCTAGACAGCCTGCTGTATGCCGTCAGCAGGAGATGTTGAAGCGCCCATCCCCAGACGGCTTCGACCCCAGCACGGTGCACCACGCCTCATGTTGTGCAATCGCCTTCCTCGAAGGATGGAGACCACAAGATGGCGAGCTCCAGCCTCGGACAGAAGAGAGCGAGACTCTGCACATCTCTCCTCAGTAGGCATGGTAACTAACCCTTACTGTACTGGTCCTACGTAGGACCAGTAGGAGAAAGAGAAAAGGTGAGCTCCCCAATCGAGCGAGGTTGGTCTACTACGCCAGCTGCCTCGTGACGTCCCCGGCTAGTGGTTCTTTTGTTTGCAAGCCTCGTTGCTACAACCTTATGTCACTGCAGCTCGGGCATGTTGCAATGTACCGTAGTAAACTGTATGATGATAAGATGTTCCCATACTTTTGCAATGAGCAAAAATGAGCAGAGTCATGCTGCCAGGTCGTTCGTCGCTCCCCCCCCCCCACAGGTGCTTTTCGTAAAATTCCGGCNNCCCCCCCCCCAAAAAAAAAAGGGAGCACGGCTGAACATACAACGACAAGCGCAGCATTCATGGGGCGAGCTGTCGGCCTTCGGCTTATGATCATCTGCAATCATCTCTATTCTTCTTCTTGTATCTTAATCAATACTTCTTTCGTTTCTCCTTCGAGAAAGAGGATATTCAACGACACCAGAACCAGAGGGACCCGTCTTCTCAGGACCTCTTGGTGGGCATTGCC